AAGGACGTCCAGAAGTTCCGGGGGTTCTCCAACTTTTACCGCCGCTTCATTAAGGACTTCACTAAGATCTCGCGGCCACTCGACCGACTCACAGGGAACGACCCATGGCATTGGGGCGAGGAAGAACAACACGCCTTCGATGAGCTCAAGCGGCTCTTTGTGACGACTCCGGTCCTAGCACTGTACGATCCTAATCGAGAGACGTGCATTGAGGTTGACGTCTCGGGCTACACCACTGGCGGCGTGTTGATGCAGAAGCAGGATGACGGCAAATAGCATCCAATCGCATTCCGGTCTCATGCTATGGACCCAGCCCAGCGTAACTACGAGATCTACGATAAGGAGATGCTCGCGATCATCAAAGCACTGGATAATTGGCGCCATTACCTCGAGAGGCTATCCAATCAGTTCGAGATTGTCACCTATCACAAGAACCTCGAGTACTGGCGTACATCCCAGCATCTCACGTGTCGTCAAGCATGATGGTCGCTGTTCCTGGCTCGCTTTGACTTCCGCATCACACACAAGGCTGGGACATCCAATGGAAAGGCTGATGCCCTGTCACGTCGATCAGACCATCAGATCGGCAATGAGGACGATAACACCGATCAGGTAGTTCTCAAACCTGAAAGGTTCCGCATTGCCTCTGCCAGACGCGGCCATGCTTCGGTGACGGCCGATCAGTCGCTTCTGAGGCACATCAGAGAGTGCTCGGAGAAGGATCGGGAGGTGGCTGAGGCACTTGAAAAGGTGCAGAACCTCGGGCCACCCCGGCTGCAAAGGGGTTTTGAGGAGTGGAATGCCAAACAAGGGCTTCTGCTGTTCCGTGGGTGCGTATATGTCCCAAAGAATGCAGAGCTCCGGCGGGATATTGTCAAGATCCACCACGACTCGCCGATTGCCGGACATGGCGGTCGTGCCAAAACCCTCGAGCTCGTATCGCGGAACTACTGGTGGCCTGGGATGTCCAAATTTGTCAATGAGTACATAAGCACCTGCGACATGTGCAACCGTACCAAGACATTCCCAGCTAAGCCCCAAGGTCGGCTGAAGCCGAACAAGATCCCCGAGCGCCCATGACAGATCATCATGACCGATATGATCGTCGGCTTGCCGAAGTCTGATGGACTCAACTCGATCCTGGTCACCACCGACCGCTTCACAAAGCAGGTCCACTTCTCGGCCTGTCATGAGACCCTGACGGCAGAAGGTGTGGCAGACCTGTACATCCGCAATGTGTTCAAGCATCATGGGGCCCCGGCCAAGGTCATATCAGACCGAGGTCCCCAGTTTGCTTCGAAGTATCTCCATGCAGTGTACAAGGGACTGGGAATCAAGCCGGCGCTGTCTACGGTGTTCCATCCTCAGACAGATGGCCAGACAGAGCACTGGAATCAGGAGATCGAGCAGTACCTGCGTGCTTTCACAAACCACAGGCAGGATGATTGGGCAAAGCAGTTGCCACTCGCGGAATTTGCACTGAACAACCGAGTTCACTCCGCGACTGGGCATTCCCCTTTCTACCTGCATCAGGGGTACCATCCTGAGATACAAGTGCGGATCAATCCGATGTCTGCGATGCCTGTGGCCGCTGAGCGGCTCAAGATCCTGAAGGAGATCAGGGATGACATGCGCTCTGCGCTCGAGCTGTCAGCCAAGTGCATGAGAGTGTACTATGATAAGCACGTGCAGGAGGCACCAGTCTTTGCGCCGGGGGACAAGGTCTGGCTTGATGCCTGGAACCTTAAGCTGAAACAGCCGAGCAAGAAGCTCAGTCCCAAGCGCCTCGGACCTTATGCCGTGCGGCAAAAGCTCGGAGATTTAGATTACGAATTGGTTCTGCCGAAATCGGTGCTGGTGCACCCGGTGTTCCATGTCTCCTTGCTTAGCAAGTACACATGTAGTGAGATCCCGGGCCGAGAGCCGGAGGAGCCGCCTGCGATCGAGGTTGAGGGCGATGAGGAGTACGAGGTTGAGTGGATCAAGGATTCAAGGATCTTCCGGCGTCAGCTGCAGTACCTTGTCAAGTGGAAGGGTTATGACGACTCACACACGTCATGGGAACCGGCGTGCAATGTTGCGAATGCGCCGGCCCTCATAGCCGATTTCCACCGGAAGAACCCGAATGCCCCTCGTCGTCTCAACGCTGCTACATTTGGTGGTCTCAACTTCCAGCCAATGCCTTCGCCGCTGACTGAAGCATGCTGCCACTCCGGGTGGGAGATGGGCAAGGGCGCCTCGCATGAGGTCATGCGCCATTGAGGGGTGGGTAATGTCACGACTTGGTACGGTGTCTAGCCGTTTTTTAATTTTTTCCTTTTCACGGGCTCGAACCCGCGACCTCTGTACTACATGCCTGATACGGACGCATCATATCTACTGTACAATTAGATTAGATGGGGCGGCAGTGCGCAGCACAGCTCGGGCTCCGCTGACACAGCCTCTCTGACTCACCAGCCTCTGGGGCCGCGTCAGCATGCTGCGCACGGACCAGCTGTGCACAGACCAGTGCACACAGCCTCCCCTAAACTTCCCCTGTATATAAGCCGGCCTCTGCTGCCCTAGGGACCTCAGTTTTGACCTCTTGTCCCTAGGTCAGTAAGCCCCCAGTTGTATTTCCTTTTTCTACTTAACTAATACATTTCTTGTCCCTAGCCTTAGGTTTGAGCGTAAGCTCACCATCGCTCCAGTAAGACCCAGTCAAATGCCCCCAGTGTCCTCTGTTTGTGTTTCCCCAGTCGCTTGACCCTAAGTTGCGACAGGTTGCAGGTTCAAGCCTGCGAAAAAGAAAAAATAAACAATGGCTAGATGCCGTGTCAACTCGTGACAACATTACTACATCGCTCTACTATATGACCCCGTAGACACCATGTAAGGATTTACATGCATGCACTGGTCTCACATCATAACCTCTACACCAAAAGGGTGCAATGTCAAGCTTGGCTTGACATCTGACTGAAGGTATATATGCTGATCATATGCCAACTCATGACACACCATGCATGACAGGGGCAACACCACCTGTGTTTCGCGGGCCAGAGCCCGCCGCATCTTAGCACTATATGTTTGCTTGTTGCAGGATATAAATTTAGAATTCATCATCATCATCATCCAGATGCAAACATGACAGTCCAGACTCTTTAGTGTCTAACTGCACGGCAACGGTCATTTTCAAGGCCAGTCAGATCACAGAATTGTCAGAAGTACAGTCTTTGAAGTGGAAGACGAGGTCACAGTGTTTTGCAAAATTAATCGACTTCGCAAAACCCGGTAAGCCACAGTACGGTCCGGGGGGCGCATATTGAAGCAGACCTTCAGAGAGCCCATCCTCTGACTATCAAAAAGGGCGCTCTATTGTAGGCTGCCTAGGGGAGACAAACTCTGCGTCCATCCTGCTCGCGCTGCTGCTTATGCTCATCCCGCAAGTTGCCCTTGCCACTTGCAGTACACCACGCTCACCTGACTCCTGACCACCCATTCCCAAATGCGTCGTCATTCTCAGTTGGTGAGCAGCTGTAGCACTCGGCTACGTCAAGGTACAAGGCTCGCGCTCTGGCCAACTCAAGACTCGCGCATGCGAGCAGCGGCAAGGTTAGCAGTCTACGTGAACCACCACTCCGCTCCAGTCCTGTCTCCTGCACGTAGCGTGTGCCTCGGAGACACGCGCTCTCGCGCCGGGGGTGTCTCTTGCATACCCCGTACGACTTATATAACGTATGCAGCTCCAATGTTCTTTTGCGCGTACGTACTCACCAGTTGAGCAGCTACTGGAGAGCGAGCGCAGACAGCTCTGAGGCATGGCGCATCCGATCGAGCACGTCGAGCTATCCAAGCGCCGGTCGACGCGTCGGCACCGGTCTGAATACACAAGCGCGGGGTCTAGTACACAAAGTTCAGTACTGACGTGAGACATTCACAGAGTAGCTCGATTGGTGAATTGACAACAGGCAGACAGACACAGATCACGCGTGCAAGCGATAGTCATCGGTATGGCATCAGGCTACGAATGGCGCGTGGACATGACGCGGGACGCGAGGGTCAGTGCATGCATAGTGGAGACATGTACATCAGGTCAATGTGCATATAGCGTATGTAGACGAGAAGGAACTTACCGGGAGATTGAGATCGCATGTCCTTATCCGCGTTGCATGTTCCGAGTCGACTGAGACGATCTTCGCCGACAGACGAGTGGTCAATATTGCATGGCATCAATATACAAATACAGTCCATTCAATAGTGGGAGGGGGATGAAGTATTGTTCATCCTATTTTAAGAAGGATATATTAAGCACTGATAGCTGAACAAAGCAAAACATGCAAAACATAAGGAAGCGAGCAGAGTACGCCAGCGGATCATAGTACACACAGAGCGCACTAGCGGTGGACAGAACTAGAACAAATGGAAGATGTATCAACAACAGCAACAGGACACAGCAACCAAATAACATCACGCGTAGTCTGGAATGCCCACACCGAGGATCGGTTTTGAGCGAATGTCCAGGTCGAAGCAACACGCGAGAACTGGGACGTCTCTTGACGCAGCTAAATAGGGCTGAATTCGCCTCCGCTAGTGAAGCACGGCTAGAGGATAGCCCGAACTGAGGCACATCCCGGGCCATGGTTCGGCGAGTCGGTGCGGTCACAAACGTGAGACGTACGCATGTGCATAGCGAGGGTGTTTGGGACAGCGCTGGACGATGAAGATCACGACCGGGTATATCAGTCGGCGCGGATAGCTGGTATTGTTCGCCTACGTCGCGTGTGGATGGAGGGCATGACATTTGGGCCATTCAAAGTATGCGTAGTGAGATGGGGCGAGAGGATGCCATTAGAAACATGACGGCGCGAGGAGGAAATGATCGGAATTCGGAAAAGGATGTACATGTGAGAATTTGCAGGACGTGTATGCGGGACAATCCATGAGCGCGGTAGCGTTGTGATTCAGTGAGCAGCGCTTCTTCGTGCACGGCACGAGCGAGCGAGCGACACCCAGGACTCGTATCATTGACCGTTTCGCCAGCTAATCTCAGTATGAATTGTGCCTGACACTTGTTCCACTCTGATACCATGAATGAAACATGGCGTTAGGAACAACAGTAAGGACACTATGAAAGTACGCACTGCAGAATACCCCGTGTATCTAGGTTTGGTAGGCACAGTCTGGTCATAGGTATCGGACTCTCTATGAATTCGTTTACACGACGAAATCCTATCCAGAATAGGCGAAGGTTGTAAAAGATTGTTTGGGAGAGGGCTGCATCGAGCTGTGGAAGGCGAGTCCACAACTTTGCAAGGTCTGCTTCATCCGTGACACAGAAGATCAAACTGATATGAGATATGTGGGCGGACGCGACCTGGTGAAGAAGCTCCGCGACAGGAGCAATTGTCGAACCGTCACCGCGTGTGATTCCGACTGAATAGACAAGGCGCTCGAGATGTGTATTCGCTGAAATATCGAAGCAACGGGCTAGAGTAGTGGCATATTACTGCGTGTGAACTGGCAATGACCATGCTACCAAACGCACCTGTATTGAGACCTGCATGCGTCGACGCTCCAATGTACATCCATAAGCTCTCTCGCGGGAGTACTCGGAGGATAAGCTTCTTCAGAGATTGGCCTGTATGCATGACGAGTCGATTGAGAGCGGCATCTACGCTTGTCGTTACGCGCAAGGATTGAGACAGCCAGACCATGATCGCTTCCAGGTGGTGACTGGCACCAGAATGAATGAGGAGGTCAACGAGGTCACAAACAGACTGAGGGTCAGAGAATAGGGAGAAGCTCTTGCCCAACTCAACGGTTGTCAATTTCGATAGCATGTCCGGGCGCAGAGGTACATCGCTAGGATTGAAGCCATGTTCCGGGAACGAGCATGATCCATTAATGGCGAGGGTCTCGAGGGCAGGAAGAGCGCCAAGCAAGCGTGCAAAGGCAGCCGGCGTCGAAAGCGTGACATCCCATAGGATTAGATTCCGAACATTTCTCCATGGCGGGGTCTTGAGAAGTGGCATGCTTTGCGCTAGCAGCTGGGCAGAATGCCTTGCGAGCGATTGAGGTCGCCCAGCGACCGGCTTCGTGGGCGGTGGTAGCAGGTCTATACGCCATAGCTTTGAAGCGGGTAGGAGGCATAAAGCCGAGAGTGTCTGCGCGTCGATAGAGGTCTCGATAATCTCGACGCCACAGAGCTGAAGCCACGTGAGGTGTGGAAGGGCGCAGGCGAGGTGCCAAAACGTCACGACCGTAGGGAACGCAACGTCGCACAGGTGGAGGCAGGTCATAGTGAAGTTGGAGAAATTGTGCAAACTAGAATGGAGATCAAGGCCCCACTCCGCGCTTTCGATCTCTAACTTGCTTAGGCTAGTCCACTTTGCCGCAAGCCTCGACGCGAATGTCGTGAGATGTGGAATCGGAAGCCGCCTACCACGCTGTATTCCTCCTACGATGTGCACTGTGAATGGACCCCTCCAGCGTGGCGCCAGATTGATATTCGCAACCTCCGCCGGCGTCCTAAATGTCACTGTGTGTGGAACATACCTCTTCGCTGTCTTCTCCACTTCCCACAATAACCCTTGGCTAGCCCTCGCGCATGCTATCAACGCATCGTATTCGCCTTCTGCCCCCAGTTCATCGATAATCATCAACCATATCTCCACCGGGAGACGTGGAAGTATGGCCGACCGGACTATGCCTGTAGTAGTAGTACTGTTCAAGGTGAGCGCAGCTGGCATCTGTATATGAGGACATCGCCACTCACCTGGGGGTGCTGTAATACTGGTCAAGGGTATGTAGTTCCCTGCTTGCAGGTCATATACGATGACGACGATTCACATCATGAGCACAGAAAACGAGCTTTGAGCCCTCATGACGCACCTTATGTCCCTCGATCTCCTCCACGACTTTCGGAATGATTGTTTGATTACTGATAGGCCATGCATTGTGCCCTGCGCGGCGAGAGAAAGGATATGCAAAGGTAGAAAGAAAATGCGTTGCAGAAGTACGCAGCCTCGCCTTATATGATGAAGTTTTTGTAAGTCGCATTCTCATAGGTCTCACGGTCGCGCGTATATCCCTCAGGTGACGTCACCATTCACTCGGTCACGCACATGTCCTCTCAGCGCTGTCTTCAATAAATGAAGTGTGCTACTACACTCAGTCACTGGTCAGGGGCCGGGTCCGGCCCTTTGCTAAGTATGACCAGGCGGTACCTTTCGCGTCTCGTCTCATAACCTCCAATATAACAGTCAATCTAGACTGGTGCGTCTTTGCCCCTCGTTCGCCGCGTCTCATCGCATGATGTAATCCCGGCAGCCGGGAAGGACTCGTGTCCAACGTTCAGCATGTGCACCGCATCGATCTACTGCCTCCCAGTACACGTATACAAGGCGCCTCGCGGGAAGCCTGTGATGGGCGCGGCTTGCTGCGGCATGCACTGAAGGTTTGTGCCCCAGCTTTAGACCAATGTGGTGCTCTCTATTATGGTCGACTCGTATCGATACGGGCTGGCGAATCGCAATGCCTGTATACTCCTCCGTATAGAAGCAGTGCGGGGATTATGCGGTATGCGAACCGCACAAGGCTGAATCAGCTCACCCGGGCACATGATGTGGGGCAATGCACATCGCACTCCGTAGATGATATTCTCACAGTGCAGCTGAACCTGCATGCCTCTTGTTGTACACGACCTGTCATTCTTCGTCTGGTGCATGTGTTGACGGAGGCATCTTAGCTAGATGCTGTGTGATTACCAGGATGCGAGACGAGAGCTGCAGTACACACAGGATACTGTCGCGGGAGAGAAACCGAGTAGTCGTGCAGATACGACATGTATAGGCAACAGGAAGACGCGAGAACTAGCAACATCTTGGAAAATGCATGTATACAGAAAACGAGCGACACCGCAATACAAAAGAAGACAGGAGCGACACAATGTCATGAATAGTGCGATTCTTCACGCCCTCGTAGCGACAGCCCTAGGAGGCGAGTACAATTTCTAACGGAAGGCCTTACGTGCGAACCGCGCCGTGGTACGTCACACCAATATATGTGGGCGGCCTCCTTTGATAAAGCCAATACGAGAGATCCAGCGCGCGGCGAAAAGCAACGCCTAGAATAAGACGGTGCGGGGAAAGGTCAAGCCGACGCACAGACCCCGAGCATGATTTGGCAGGATGGTACCGCCACAAACGATGCAAGACGCATGCACGCACGTAGAGGAGTGGGTTCAAGATGTCTTCAAATGGCGGCGACCGAGCGGCCTGAGAGGAAATCCACTGGGCGCCCTAGGAAGGCAGGTGAAGGAGCTTCGTTTCCAGGCTCAAATCGTCACTAGAGTCATGAGAGGATAACGCACGGACGGAGCGATTGCATGTGAAATCGCAGATCAGGGTACTAAGCCGAAGGTCCATACCGTCCAGCGCGTAGTTGTAGCGCAAACATGGGATGTTATTTCAGCATCTGAGCACGGGTGAACACTGTGTGAGACGATGAAGCTTCAATCTCTACGGCTGTTGGAGTGTATCCTCTTTCGGGTGCGGGTGCGCAGGAGGGGGCGTCTCAGTCGAGGAGTCCACCGTGCCTGCGAACGAGACAAGATGGACGGCTGATAGGACTCCGAGCGAAGACGGTGAGTCACCTTGCTGGTCCCGTTTTATCGCCTTGTGTGGCTGGAAGGGACACGTGCGCATCGCATCCACCTACTACTCCTGATACGTTTTTGAATGTTATATACAGCCTACAGGGTGCCTCGAAATCGAGAGAAGCCTTCATTGGGCGCAGCATGCATGGAAGCCGACCTAGCTATACCAATGGGGTGCGCTCGTGTACCTACCCTCTTCACGGTGTCGACCCCGATTAATGCAGACCTCCTACCGTCTGCGAACCGTACAGAACTGGACCGGCTCATCCGGGTGCCTGGTGTCGGGCAATGCATATCGAATGTTGTCGAAAGCACACTCGCAGCGTGGGCTGTGAATCGCCTTCGACTCCTCTTGGCTTGAGAACCTCCTGTTGTACGTAACTCGGCCCCCCCCCCCCCCCGTCTGATACGAAACCACCTTATGTTGACAGAGGCACCTGTACGACTGCGGGGCGCATACGGTCAATCAACGTAATCGGTATTCAGGTATCGTACTGGGGCGTGCTGTCCGGCCATGTATGCTCAAGGTGATCTTGACGCGTCGCTCTTCGTCATGCTGGCAGATCCCCCGGTACGTAGCTCCCCGTGTGAAGATTCTATGCGCGGCGTGTCTTCGAGCCAATGTAGAATGTTGAACCATCGAATGGACTGATGATTGAGCAGCGAAGATGGACCAGGTATCTCGATCGGCACGGATATCGGACAATGTTCGCTCGGGCTGCATGTGGGAAAGGTTGCGATACGCTGGCGCGTGGTAAGGGTATGAGATGTGGTGATTGTACGAGTGTTGGATGGTGTATCCCTTGCTTGAGATCGACGCAGCGAGAGAATGCCGTCAGAGGACATGACGGCGTAGGAGGGAGGGATAGCAATAGAAAGGATAAGTAGACGACCGCTTGCAAGCTAAGTATGAAGACGATGCATGCGCGCAATGGGGCTGTAGCTTGTCGAGTCATGTGGCGACTAGTTGTGATGGAATTTATTCCGCGGTACGAGCGAGGGACCCTTGTATTTGTCCCGTATACCTGAAGACACCGGTCGTCAGCGATCATTTCACTGCCCGGAGCTCAGTGCGTATCGTACCTGATGATTCGATCCTTCACCGCAATACTGTGAACAGTACACGTCCGTCAACATAGCAGTGAAAATGCTATGAAGGTACGCACCGTAGAATACCCCGTGTTTCCAGCTTGGGTAAGTATGACCTCACACTCGCTTGCGGAAGCTCGTGGGATGCCTCTACACCGTACAATCTTATCCAGGCTCTTTCAAGTCGGTCGAACACCTTTTTAGAAAGCGCTGCATCGAGCTGTGGGAGGCCATTCCACAACGTTGCGAGCTCTGCTTCATCCCTCACACGGAAGGTCATATCGATTTCTGATATGCGTACTGACGCAACCTGTTGAAGAAGCTCCGTCACGGCGGCGATCGGTGAATTGTCTTCGTGGCTGATGTTGGTTACGCAGGTAAGGCGCTCGAGATGTGTATTTGCCGAGATATCAAAGCAACGGACTGCAGGTACAGAGCATTACTGTGGATGAAGTGATAGGGACTATGTTATGGGACGCACCTGAGCTTTGTTCTGCGTATATTCTTGTTTCGTTGTACAACCGCAAGCTGTCCTGCAGGACTGCGTAGAGTTCAAGTGACTGTAGTGATTGGCCGGCACATGCAATGAGTCTAGCGAGAGAGACATCTGTGCTCGTTGCTACACGAAAGGACGGGGACGGCCAAACGGTGAGACTTTTCAAACAGCTACCGGCTCCAGATTGAATGAAGAGGTTGACGAGGTCATGCACGGACCGAGGATCGGAGTGTGCAGAGAAGTCCTCGCCCAACTCGAGCTCTCTTAATCGGCATGGTATTACAGGGACATCTCTGGGATCAAGGACATGTTCCGAGAACGAGCATGGCCCCAGAATGGCGAGCTCTTTGAGGGTGGGAACGGCGCAAAGCAAGCGTCCAAAGGCGGCAGCGGTCGGAAAGGTAACATCCCACAACTCCAGTCGCGAGACCTTGCACCATGGAGATACATTGAGAGATGTCATGCTCCGCACTACTATCGCCTGCAGCAGCCCAGCGGAGCCTATTCCAAGAAATCCAGGTCTTTCGACGGCACGTTCCTCGGGTCGAAGCATGTATATGGTGTTTAGTGTAGAGGGCAAGAGACATAGGGCCGAGAGCATCCGGTCGTTGATGGCAGTCTTGGCGAACTCGACATCGCGTAAGGAAAGCTCGTGGAGGCTTGGGAGGCCGTGGACCAAACGCCACAACGTCAGGACAGTCGGGAGGGTGACACGATGCAGCTGGAGGTATAAGACTCTGTCGAAGCAGCCCACATCGAGCAAGATGGTGTGAAGATCGAGATCCTGCATTCGCCATTCTGCCCCCTCGATCGTCAGCTCCCGTACGTTGGTCCATTTTCCCGCAAGTCTCGAGGCAAATGTCGCCAGATGTGGAATGGGAAGCCGACGCTCACTAGTCCGCGCTCCTCCCTCAATACGCACTGCCTGTGGTCCTTTCCAGCGAAAGGCCAGATTGATGCTCGCAGCCTCCTCCTGCGTCCCGAAGACTATTTCGCGTGGAATGTACCTGTACGCCCTCTCCTGAAGCAACCCCTCACTAGCCTCCGCCCACGCTTCTAACGCGTCATATTCACGGTCTGCACCGAGCTCGTCGATGATGAGCAACAACACTTCTAGCGGGAGAGGTCGAGGCTTGGCTGTCGGGACCATGCCTGTGGTGGTATAGTCGAAGATGGGTCTAGCTGGCATCTCCGTATCGATCGTATCGTGCATTGCAGCTTGGGCGTCGAGTGGGCGAGCAAGAGTAGTACGCAGTGCTGTCCTGCTTTACAGGTCACGAGACGACGATCTTCTTGGCTTCCCCGCTCATCATGTGGCCTGTGATCATCTCTCACACAACTGTCAAAATGATCATGGATCGGACGCTGACCAGGCTCCTTCCCGCCGTCTTCGGGAGGTGAGGGGGACTTCATTCGAGGGCGGAATTCATGCTAAGTCCCAATAGCTTAGGGAAGATCATATCTTAGATCCCATCACACATGTCACGTGCGTTACCCAAATATTCAAACTCCACAATCTTAATCCCCCTCACCTCCCTGTGACGGCTGGCACAAAACATTTGTAAACAGCGGCACTCGGAGCCGGACTTCCTCCATATAGTATGAGATCACGGCCAAAAACTAAAAGCGGAGAACTAAATGTCATAATATTTGCTCTCGTCAAAATGAGCATCCAGCTGCGCCGCCTTGAAAACAGAGTTAAAGAACGGGTGAAGATGAACATGTTTGCTATCTGCAATGCCCCTACACAAGCCCCTCCTGCCAACCATCGGCGCTATCCAAAAGAAGACATTTGCAAAGCTGGGCCATGACCCTTGTGAATGGCAGGTGATTGCAGGTTGCACGCGAGATCCAGAGGATGCCATATGCGTTGCACCAACCAGCGCAGGCAAAACACTCACTGGGTTGACCAATGCTCTGCAAATACCTCGAGAAGCTGCGTGAGAACATTGACGTGCATGGCTCCAAGACACGGAGGCAGCGCGTTCCAATGTGTCTCGGACGCGTCGCGTTCTGGCTCATGCGATCGCGTTTATTATGTAATGTAGGTAGCATATTTTGTCAAGCGCCCAGTCGCTCAATCGAGGCGACTGCCCTCCGAGCGCCGCTGTTTACAAATGTTTTGTGCCAGCCGTCACAGGGAGGTAGAGGGGATTAAGATTGTGGAGTTTGAATTTGCACGTGATGTTCACATGACATTCACGTGACATGTGGCGTCAGTTCTAGTTTAGGATACAGTACTTAGGATGTAGCATGACTACCACCGTCGAATGCAGCCCCTCTTACCTCCCGAAGACGGCGGGAAGGAGCCTGGACGCTGACCAGCCTTTTGTCGTGCCCTCGCTTAGTAGAAGAGGGCAGGTAGCAGACGTGCGCAACCTTGCCCACTTTGCTAAGTGCGTCGCATCTATCCACTATCCCCGGCACGGCTCCAATTCTTAGACAAAGGGTACCTCGAGGAGAGCCTCAGACTTCTATGAGCGCTGACTGCCGCGTCTACCAAAAGCTGCAAATCATCTCAGCTTTGGACTAATAGAGTGCACTCGTGTACACGTCCTCCGTGGGGACGATGCGGTGCAGCAATGGCAGGGAATCAAGGCAGACACCTTGCGGTCTGCAAACCGCACAGGGCCGAACCGGCACATTCGAGAACCTAGTACCAGCAATTCAAATCGAACGTCATTGGCAACGCTCTAACAATGCTATCTTCCTCATGACGATTCAGTTTGCTGACTTCTCCAGGCCTATTATACGTCATTCATTGTTCATCTGAAAGATGACTACGTTAGATTGATAGAGGCCAAGTGCTGTGAGACTGCGCGGCGTACGCAGTCGCTCAGTGCAATAGAAACCCACGTGTTGTACGTGAACATATCGCGAGCCGAGGCGCGCGGTGAATTTAGTGCGTCCTTCAATTTAACCGTGTCTTAGGATGGAGTTCACCGTATGGATAAACGTGTGCGGTGTCGTGACCTTGAACCGACGTCTCATATTTTACAGGACGGTGACCGCGTCTCCACGTAATATTCGCAGGATATATCGGACATCTCGGTGTACCGATGGACCATCGCTCGATCAGCGCATTTACGGTGAGACGAACCCCGTTTTTATTATATATCCTATCAAAAAGATGTCTTCCGATGTATATCATCATCTGCATCCTACGCAAATGACATCTCGGAGACTTCAAATCCGGGTGAGTGCAGGCTCAGACGGGACGTGATGTGGCTAAAATGAGATGCGACGGACTGCATGCGGGATACTACAGGTCGGGCTCGCTGTCTAGCTCAATGTCTGCGATGACTCTGACAAGGTGGGGCACCCACTACGATACCGAAGCTAAAGTCGGTTCGTGAGGTAAAATATTTGGGTTTGAATGGCAATATGCAAATTGCTCAGTGGCGTCCGTATCCTGCATCGAGGCGCCTCGGTTGACCACGAGCCGATTGGTGGGGACGCTACTATTGGAGGTGCCTCTTGGCATGACGTTTGACTTCATCTCGGAGATATCGTTGTGCTTGACACCTCACGGCCGACGTGCGACCTTCAGTACACCCTGCTGACACTGAATCACAGGCTGTCAGGATAGCGAGCGGACGCGAATTTGACCGCTCCGCGTGCAACTGTAGATCGTGTTTCTTCCCTCGTGGTATCACATGTGATTGCGACCTTCTCCCCATTCCATTGCCCATCTTTCGCATCCACGCCAATGTTTTTTCATAACCTTCTCGGCAAGAATCGGCTATTTCCTTATCATCATCCGTTCAGACTGTTTTGGACAGCACACATTTGATATCAACACAATCTTCTTCACACAGTTATCTTCTATCAGGTGTACAAAACCTAAAGAAGCTCCAGCAGGCGGTAGCGAGGATTACTAGTATGAAATACAATATAACCCTTCGTGAACTGATCCCATGCATTTCTGGCTTCCTCTCCTAGCATGCGTCGCACTCGCTCGGCTGCATTCACCGTCTCCTCGACAACTTCATGCAGCGTATCCGCTAGCGATTTACCGGTGACAGCAGCGCGATCATGGATGTAGTTGCCCGTTTCGCCTACGAGCTCCTCTCTATAAAACGACAGGATGTCACTGTAGTATGTGAGCTTCATGTCAGGATACATCGGCTCGGATTTTGACGTACTTGGTATGATTGAGATAGTCGCCAATGATGCTAGGCGACAAATCAGGATGTGAGCATTCAGAAAGGGATGGCGTGGCGTAACTCACGGGATGGCTTGTATGTATGTCTGAACATCGGGGAATTTCTCTTTCTCCCAAATAAACACAGCAAAGACCTCGGGCAACCCGTCCTGCACCCTCCGATATTCGACGAATGGAAGAGCGTCGCGGTGCAGAACTACGTCCTTGGCCTCCATTTGGAGTAGCGTCATATTGAGGAAGGCCAGGGTCGAGGATAAGATGGCACTGGCTGCAAACCGGGGGAAATAATCCCACATCCTCGACAGCAGATTGCTCAGCTCTGTGAACATGCTGCTTGATTGCTGAACAGTGCCTTGGCAGAGCATGCGATGGAACTGCAGTGCACCATCCTCGCCCCACAGCGCAAGGGTCACTGGATCGTCAATAGCGGTGCAGAAGGTGGTCAACAACGCGATAGCCACCCTAGTGTCGATTGTCGTGTGCCGGTACGCAGTACTGCCCATGATGATGCCAGTGCGGATCTTCTCTTGCAACTTGTCTCGATCTTCCCAATGTTTGGTAATGTCCTCTAGGCGCGTCTCGAGCTCCAAGTCACGGACGAAGTCAGTTTGTGCCTCACTGAACCCAGTTCGGGCTAGGAAGTCTCGGATATTCCGACGCGAAGCATCGACGATTTCACTATGACGGCCTGATTCAAAATACTGAGAATAGCATGAACAGGCGAACACACACCTTGGTGACATGACAGCCGATTCCATCTATGCTCTCCGAGTCGTAGATGTCAACTCTGAGGTGACGGCTGAAGCGAGAGGGACGTCTGTCTTATATGGATAAGCTGCTCATGAAAAATTGCCTGGATTGTGTCCTAGTGTGGATAGTTCACGTCATCCACGAAGTCCGTTACTTTTCGGCGTCATGTTTCGACAACGTCTAACAACGTACGCGGCATAAAGTTGGGCCACTGTGTAGGCATAAGCAGTGATTGTGGTTCGTTCTCCGTCTTCAGTTTGACCTTGGAATGGATGTTGTCCGAATGAATAGAATTCAGAAGGCATCACGAATGATGCACTTTCATTGAAACACCCTTGGCGTCAAAAGCACGCTTCGACTTCGAGCCAATACGCGTCCTCAGACCATACTGAGCACGCACAATTGATCTATCACGAGACACTAATCTGCTCCGTCAACTGGCTCTTAGCGCGGACATACCTACAAACCTCGTCCAAGCTATAGTCAATCCACCTTCGCAGCTTCTTAGACAAGCAACGTTGCATGAAGCCTGCTTCCGTTTTCCTTCGTCTCTGTCCTGATCCGCCTCGTGAGAACTGTCAAGTTTGGCCAGCAGCCTCATGTGCGCGCGCGGCGCTCACTTCTTTTGGCACCTCTAGATGCTTCCATTGTCCAATCGGAGCTTTATTCATCCAATTTGTCAAGGGCAAGGCGCAGACAACCGCTTTCACATCGGGAGAGGGGACAATCCGAACAGGCCCGGAGTTACGGAACTGGTGCTGGGAACCCACCGGCGTATCTCAGTATGTCCATGAACGCCCAATCGTGATAACTTTAGTGTACGAACGTCAATTGTCGTGAAGATGACACGCGATCGATGGCAGTCTGTGGGCTAAATCATATCGCAATGCGCTACAGCGTGGACGCGGCAAAGCGTTGCCAGTGGTATCTATGGTTGGGACAACTTCGTATCAGCAAAATGATATGCTATCGCGACTTCATGCTCTTCACCTTTCTGTCCTGTTATCTAATAGCATGATATTTACCTAGGAGGGTATACGTTGTCGCTCAGCATCGCGTCACAGGCAATGTTTCGGGGAGTTGAAGTTGATTGTGCTCGATTTTACTTGGACACGGTGTTTACCTCGAATGGCAAGCGGAGGAGCGGCGCTCGTTCAGGGCGTCCTGGAAGCGGAGTACATGAGCAACAAACACCTGTACGAGTTCTTGCACGCCTGATGCGTGTACCTGATGACCTTCGGCCCGATCGTGAGTCGCTATTTATTCAGGCGTAGCTTCCTTCTTTGATCGGGGTGTCTCTTTATTAAACGCGCATCGAACTCGGTAACCTTCCATTACTCTCGGACCCCGGATTACCGAGGCGTCTGGATGATAAAACGCATTGGGACTTTAGCAATGAATCCGTCGAGCTCGTTACATAAAATCCGCCCTCAATGAAGGAATCAAAAGAGCTGAGGACAGGTGTAATGGACAGATAATGATGGATAGGGGCCTCCTCTCGTCTTTTGGGTAGAAAATCAGGCTTAAGATCGTCGCTAGGAAGCAGCATCCGCTGGCTGGCTCGTGCGCGACCCTCGCTTGGACGCACAAGACGCCGCATTCATCTCGCTTCTAGCATGCAGGCACCTTCTCGCGTGCTCAGCAGGTCTGGAACGCGATCATCATATCATAAATTTTACAAAATAGACACAATAGAAAACTGGGGGAAAAGTAGAGGTGCGTCCCGAAACACAAACCGAGACGACTTATGCGATATGCATAGTATGTTGAAGTTCGTCTGAGATCCGAAGCGAGAACGATCGACTGAGCTCTGTAAAACACGCTAGGAACATACAGGGCGGCTCGCGCAAAGTCTGCGAGGTACTATAAACAATGCTAAATATGATGGCATGCGCTTGCCACAATCTCAAGCTCCAACATAGTATCCAAAGTATCGCCTGTACTTATAGGAATGGGAACATGAATGTTGCCATCATGGTCACTAGATATCGGCATGTCATACAGCCTGTTCCGTGGTAGGCTCAGTATGATCCGGGAAATCGAATGAACTTGGAATCCCAGGCACTGATCATTTGGACATGAAGACTCGACTCGCTGCGAGGATGAACCAGTCTTACATAGCAAAGAGAAAACAAGAACATGCGCGTACTCAGGACACGCCACGGATCAAAACGAGGCAGTACAAACTGAGAGACTTTACACTGACCAGCGGATTGGACAAGTACATGCAGTCTGAGCCTATGGCCCCATGTCAGCAGGCCATGCAATTCTCGATGTGTTTCGCAGTCTGCCATTATATGAAGCGAAGAGCCCTTTCGACAAGAGATATAGCAGCGGTCCATTGCAACTGCGTATAGACAAAAGGCTACACAAGGTTTTATGTACTGTCTTGGCTCAGGCGTGGGTGTTGTTCCACACCGACCGCACGACGAAGTCAGCCGGATCGGGGGCTGTGACTTGCGATAGGGCAGGGTTAAGCAGGAATTGCACTATACGCCATGGTCAGAGCAGTGGTCCTGGAGCTCGCGTTCATAACTGCTAACACTCACCTGTACGATCAATACCTGGCACCAAGTAGAACCCGTTGAGCGGAACTTGAGTTGCGGCATCCACAAAATAGCCAACGGTCCCATAAGGATGGTCAAGCCAGGCATATGCAGCGACTCCGCCTTTGGCTGACAGAGTAAACGTCAGGTTGCTTCCCGGTGTGAGATTTATCTCCGGGTCAACGAGTTCTGCTTCAGCAAGCGACACAGGCGTGTACTATCATATACAGCTGTCAGGATCCGTTATGCAAGCGTTAGTGAACGAAGACTCACGTAAGTCTCCATCGTAACGGTGCGATCTTCGAGCTGCGCTGTCACATTCAGCAACATCCATGAATTCGTGGGAGTAGCGCCCTCCGGGAGGATCGTGTCGAAGCCTTGCAGCGACATAAGCACCGTGTTGTTCAGTGTCGGCACGGTGAACTCGTGCGTCATTGGCATAAGCTCGTTGCCCGCCCAGTCATACCACGTCAGCTGCGCCGTCCCACTGACCGTATACCACCGATCATTAGTGACCATAATGTCCAGCGTCTGGTTATCCGGCGTCCAGAACGGGTACACGACGACGGGGGTGTAGATGCTCGCCATGCCGTAGTTGAGCACCTTCCAGCGCCCAGAGTACTCGACGGACGACCAGCTGACGCCCTGCCAGATGTCGTTCAGCTGCCAGACGAGCGCACCGAGATTGTTCTCGCCGAGCCCAGCACCACGGCGGTACCACGCGATTTCAGAAATCATGTTCATCGACTGGAAAATCTGCGTACTCCAGCACCATTGGGCGAAGGTCTGGTTCGCGTCGGACGTTCCTGGTGTCGGTAGCCAAAGCTCTACACCCATTGTCATCTGACCTTGGCCCTGAGGCGCGTTCGGGTTGGGCCACGCAAGACTGCCCGCTGGAGGATGATGATCTCGAGACATGACTACTGTCGAGTTGAAGGCGAAGTCTTCCGGAGACTCAAGCACCTCTTCCCAGGTGTAGAATGAAGGCATAGAGTGGAATCTAAAGGACAATAATAAGCTGCATGACTTCTAATATGATTTGCGCGCCTACATACCCAAACTCGTTCACGAATCTGTGACAACAGATGTAAGACTTAGTGCGGTTATGCGATGGAGAGAGGCTCACCGTGCGACCGGGTACGTGCTGTAGTTGAAAGCCTGGGAGGCATCGTAGTTGTATCGCTCTGTGGCACATTCAGGATTGAGCGAGATTGCGTTGTGTTTGTACTCACCGGTGTTTCCATAGATGTAACCGGGCGTCTTGTTCTCAAATCGAAGAACGTAAGGGTCCAGGCTCAGGACGCCATTCGTCGTAGAGCAATCTGTGTACGGGACCTTGACAGAAATATCAGCGAATCCTCGTATATGATGCCCCGCGGGTGCTCACCGAGGACTGCTCCTCATACGTGATATTGTACAGAAAATCTTGGAACATGTATACGTACTGTATCCCATATATGAGCTATTCGTAGCATAGTTATACAGAATCACGTACCTCGTCCAGATAGTGAGTTCCGTTAGCATACGTCTCGTTGATCCCGATTACAATGTTCTCGATCTCGTTTCCACCTGCCCATTGGACATTGCTTGGGTGATGATTGATGCGCCGCACGTTCTGGCGCACCTCCGGGTCGATAGAGTCAAGCAAGAATGAGTTCAGGGGGTACGTTGCGTCAGAGAAGATCATCTCCGACCATGCAAGAATGCCTAGCTCGTCGCACACAGAGTAGAAATCATAGACGCCAGTGAGCGCATCCGATGGTTGATAAATACCGCCGCCCCAGACACGCAGCTATGTGGTATACTCTCGTCAGTGAACCGGCGTGAATTGGATACAAACGACACGCACCATGTTCTGGCCGCTCAGCACCGCGCTCTCAAGCACCCAGCGGACCTTCTCGGAGGAGATGCGCGCATAGAATGGGTCGAACGGGATGATGTTCGTCCCCTTGGTGTAGAACGCCTCACCGTTGATTAGGAAGTGCCACTGGTCGCCAGGCGTTATGCCGCGCGCGGCAATCTCCTCGGGCAAGTACGCTGTCTGCGCGAGCTCCATCGTGCGGAACCCGCTGCGCACAGTAAAGCTTGCCTCGTCCACTTCCACGCCGAAGAAGTCGCCCAGCGCGAGCGTGATCGTGAAGTTGTACAGTTGAGGAGTGCCCAGATCGCGGGGGTACCAGCGCTGCGGGACGCCATCCGGAACCGTGATACTCGCGCTGACGAAGGTGGGCGTGCTGGTTGACGCGGGGATAGAGCTGACGGACAGTGGCCCGGATGTGATGCCAAGCTCTGGGATTGCGATTGAAATCGCCGGGCTGAAGCTCGGGAGCACAGAGCGTACGCCGAGAGTGACATTCACGAGCCAATCAGCAGTCTGATCGGGCGAGATCAGTGCTGTTTGTCCGACTTTCGAGATCTCTAGAGAATATTGCTCAATGAAGATTGCGCCACCGGATGCTGCCAAAAGCGGGTATTCAGCGGGGGTGCCAGCTGACGTTTCGAAGGTGGGAACTTCAGAGAGTGAGACAAGGTATGCAGGCCTGAAGATTCCAGCGGGAACGAAGGCCGGACCCTGTACAGGTTTCAGCGATGCGGTGCGCCCAAGCTATGACTTTACGCTCACCCAATCCCACCCGAAGTCAGACTGTGTTTTGCGTAGATATTGTCGGAATCCAGAATACTCAAACTACCGATACCAATACGTCAGCAGCTCAGCTGTGAGACTTTAAGGTTAACCTTACGTCAGGCGTTAGCGGAACCTCAGTGTCTGGCAATGACGTCACATTGAGCCCATAGAAATACGCCGATTCAAAGGCGACGGTGATGTTGCGATCATTGTCCGAAGGAGATGCGATCAGATCCGTAACATCGTACACGTATTGTTGGAACTGGTTGTCAACCCAAGCAACGGGATGACCAGCCACTGTCTGCGAAAGGTGTGTCAGTACACACCGTCGATGTACCAGCTTTCTCAGAGCACGCACGATGTTTCCTATCGTATCCAGGCCGTAGAACACGAGGAGGGTACGAGATAACGGGCTCTGAGGAACAGCCTCAAGGAAAGGCGTAACGTCTGCGGTGTATGTCCAACTTTCATTGACGATCCATCGTTGCAGGTACTCTGCATTTCAATTTGAGCCAATGCGATAGCTCCGTCGGCTCGGCACGCACCATTTATGCCTAACAATGGCTCCGCGATGACCCCTGCAGCCAAAAGGTCGAGGTGTGCCTGTGATGGCACAGACGCAGGAACGACTATCGATCCATTCCCATTGCGAAGGGTCCACTGAAGGTCGGAAAGGCTGAATACGTTGGCGAGCGTAAGTGCCGGAAGACATGCAGCCGCAAGGGCTCTAAGCGACAGGAAACGCATCGTGCCCAGCGGTCCGCGGTGCACCCTAGACGGTGTGGGCCTTTATATCCGGAATGCAAAACGTGACGTACGCCCGGAATGGGGACCGTCGCAGACCCATGACCACCCTCGACATAAGCATCGGTGATTTTGCCGAAGTCGAAGGCTTTTGATCGGAAGAATTGTGGAGGATTCACACACGAAGGAGGCATTGAGGAGGTAATTAGCGTGTACAGACGCCAAGACGAGAAGGCGATGGTCAGCTCTTGGATGACAAATCGATGAAGGTGATGCGCCGTGCAGACCACTGCCAACAAAGTCCAAGACGACAAGATTCTGGATGCAAGCGCAGACGCTGCGGGCGGGAAGGAAGTGCGCGTCCGGATGCAGATGGTATGTTGCGTGGTCGGAATGATCAGATGACCGTGAACCCACCTTGAGCGCTCGTCGATCAGCCGGTCAGAAAGGCTGTACTCTATATTGCCCATCGCGGTCATTCATGCCGCACAAATATACGCATTCAGTCCTTCTGTGGTCAAATACACTACGCCGTAGTATCTACAACCAGTCGTGGTGCCGTATACTGCTACGCCATCCTCAAAGCAGCCCTCCATGCAGCCGAGGTGAGGTCCGGACATCTCGCTTCAAATCCTGCACAGAAGCCCAGATAGCCACCGATATTCTTCCGACAGTAAGAGGGCAGGATTGCGTTCGTCGCATCTATTCTCGATTCGTCAGCATTTAATGAGGTCCTCCCTGAACGCATGCCTGGGAATAAAGATGACCCCAGGCAATTATTCTCGCAAAGACACGACGGACTGCCTGAGCACGGCGGCAGTAAACAACGGAAGCAGGAATCGTTATCGAGGACGTACCAGTAGGTCGAAGGGTTTCCACCTTGCAGAGATCATGCGCGGTGTTGCCTCCAGCTATCGCGCGCGGAGGCCGCTCTTTGGTTGGAATTTTCACCCAATGAGGTGCATAAGTGAAGAGCGGAGGCCATGCCATCCAGTATTTATGTTGAGTGGGATCTATACTACACGGTGATGATCAGTACACGTCGTTAAATCTGTCTGTTCTGCCTGAGAATTGGAATGAGCTCACGCTAGTTCACACTGAACATTCACATTTCTATCTGCAGGAAGGATGTCACACATAACAATATCGGAGAAAAGCGTGAAAAACTGATCGTCGTCGTAGTTGTCAACGATCACAGATGGAAGCTGACGTTAGCCACCGAGCGGGTATTAATACGTAGCAAGAGTGCATGGTGTACAATGAAGCTGCATCTTTGAGGGGGGACAAGACATTGTGTGAGGTCGTAGGATTAATATCCCGAAACAAGAAACGATTATGACCCTCAGGACCCAATCACGAGAAACTTCTGCAGTGACAGTTGTAGCGGCCTCATCGTGCGAGAAGCTTTTCCTGCAAGCGGCAACTTCGTTCGTACCAACATTTGAAAAGGCTCAGCGGCGATAAACACTCCGCGTCGCGCCGGCAGCTATAATGCGACCGCGAGGCTTCTAGGTTTCAGGTATTTAGAGACAGAACGTGGTCCCTTCGAAGACGATCGTGCTTCTCAGACCGGCTGCCGGACACGCAGCTAACTCAACAGTGGTACCGCGGCACAGCCACGCATATGGACTCCGGCGCGTCGTGGCACCAATTCGCAGAGGCCGAGATTCCGCCGACTGGTCGTGATAATCACGGCGACAGCCCACTTCTGCACGAAGTGCCTGCAAGAAGCAATGAGGTGGAAATAGGATGTGGGTGCAGGCGAGAGATGGGGACACTGGTGAAGATCAAATTGTATCTTAGCGTAGCTCGCAGTGAATCAGAAAAATAGAGGCTCGACGAGAAAGTTTCACCAGCATGTTGTGGAACCACTGACTTGAACAGCACAAGCGAGCCAGAAAGCACAAGCACACCCGCCGGATTCCTGAGGACTCACCTCGAGCATGTCAGATCGACTGCAACCTGAAAGTCCTCATACTAATTTCGGGACAGGTACAGACGTCTTGTAGTGAGTTCCTCGTCGCCCGCGCGCCTTGATATACATTGGGAGAAGAAAGTGTGAGCCTGGCATTCCCGTAGTAACATCCGATGGCTCAATGTTGCAGTACTAGAAAATTAGCGGCCCAGCTACAGTGCGGGCAACCCAATAAGTATATAGCTCTCTCCTTGTCCATCATTGCAGGCAAAAAGATGCCCTTCACAACAAATGCCTTGCCATAATTGTTGTCAGTCATGTAGTGCAGTTGGTTGAACACAAGAATGTCAAGCGCTTGGCATTTGTGCAGGGGCCATGTGGGGTCGTTGGTTCGATCCTGCAGTGTGCCAGACGTGTTGGCTCTGCGGAGCTTTATCGTCCGCCAGCTGGGCAGACGGGCTACCTGGATTTTTGTCCCTGTTTGATGCTTTCAAAGCATTGGCCCGTTTTTCCCGGTTTTATGAACCAACTTTGATTGTTATTGCGGAAATATGTACCTCGGATGAGCTTTGTAACTTCCCTCATCACATAGGAAGGTTCGGTTGAATTACATGCAGAGACTCGGAGTGTGACACAGCAAGGCAGGACAAATGACAACAACACACGCGCCATGCTGGTGGTGACTGGAAACGATCTTGAGTGTGGACTCTTCGAGATGCGTAAAGCACAACTCGTCAGAACCTATTCAACTAGACTCAACGCTCGAGCCACAGGGTTGTGCGCATCTCGAACTCAATGGGATTATACACGAATCGCGTCGAAGTTTCGATTGAAGAGATCGAGGAAGGCTCTATTTTTGTGTTGACCGCATGCGCAGAACGATAAGGACAAGTCGCGAGACGTCCGCTTGATCAGGATTGGGAAGACCGATAAAACGCTGAGTCTGTCGTTTCTGAAGCTCGGAGGCAGACACGAACCACTGCATTTATCGCCCTCCTTAGTCAAAACGCGTTCGAATGCAATTGTGTTAGCGAAGTCTTATGTCAGCCTGAATAGAAAATAATCATTCCTGTTGTTGAATCTTGGGACGAGGGAAGGACGCTCTACCCAGATCGACGACCAGGATGTGTGTATTTTGAAGCGTTCACGAAAGACGAGACGTTCACGAAATTTCAGTGAGACGAAACATCGCACACGTCGCACTAGCATCCATCATATATTTCTGCGATCTGATGTAGAGGTGGTTGCTTGAGTGAGTACTAGCACCACTGATATTTGCTACACCACGCTTTATGAAGAATTCTGATCTGGGTCATTTGTGTTGACGGGCTGGACTCGTCCGAAGTTGCGTCCCAGAGGATCAATTGTGGTCGTTAAACTTCACATGGATCATCTCCAGTCCGGCGAGACATTGCTTCAGGGCAGCGATGATGTCCGGTTCACCGTTAGCCCACTTGTGTTGAGCCTGAAGACGAAGAATAGCTCGTTGTGATGAGGCACTTTCCAACCACGAAACAATACACATACATCGATGGAGTCCCAGCCAACAAAGACGTAGGCTCTGTGCGGATCTGCCTCTGTGATCCCGTAGCATGCGTCATGGACCCCAGGTGCCTGCTTCGCAGATGCGATCATCTTGTCCGCGATGCTCTTGTACTGTTCAATGGAGACATCGTCCTTCAATGTCATGATCGCCTACACCAAGGTACGTAAGGGTCAAGGCTTGCACAACAAAGGCTCAAACGCGCGTACAATCTCAGTGACGGGCGCGGATGTGATCTTGGACGGAAACGCATCGAGCGGGACGAAGTACGAGACGGTATCGGAAGCTGTAATCCCGCTGATCTTCTGTCGAAAGTTGCCGTATTTCTCTGGCCAGGTAAAATCCTTCGGGAGAAAGCCCTGGTCGAAGTCTGTCCCCATGATGCGTTAGCGTTCAAGTCCGATCTTGGCCCAAGTGGCAAGGTGGAAATGTAGATGAAATAACGTACGCAGTATCCAGTGGAGCTGCGTCGGATCCTCCAATCCTAGACCATAGGACTGGTGAAGTAGTCCACCGTACGCTGCGCCCTCTCGCAGTTCTTTGTGCAACTCGGGCTTCTCGTGAAAAGCGTCGTTGATTTTGATGTGTATGATCTCTGTGACGATGGGAGCCATGACTGAAATCCGCGATATAATCGAAGGCGGATAATGGTGAATAGTCGTCGCGGTAGAGGTCAATCACCTTGATGTCGACAAAATATGTGTTAAGTACATCTGGAAGGCCGCTGAGAAATCAATGACGCATACCGTCGCTTGGCAGTTTACTAACGGCTACGACTGCTTAGCAATTGTGGAAGAGAAACGCCAGTAATCACCTCACGTAAGGAGATGCGATATCGGGCGGCTTGCACCTCAGCGCTCTATTCGTAGGCTGCCTCGGGGAGACTAACTTGCACTGGGCGGGCATGGTGTGTGACACTCTGGAAGCTCGGTTGCCAAATGAAAATATTGACTTACGGAAGGAACGTAGAAAGGTAATGTCGCATGCAATAGGCCCATGTCTCCGGAAGAGAGTACACCATCAGTCCCAAATGAGCCATTGAATGACAACGAGTGTTGTCATTGACGCGAAAACGGGTCGAACTTATACAGTTAATATCTGCGTCAGAACACCGCCAGCTCGCCCTCATAAGCGCCCTGGCATCAGGTTGGAACATTTCCAAGTACATTTACAGAGAGGAATGGTATGAGTGATGCATATGTCACTTACAAGTCTAATCAGAAGTTGTCGGCTTGAAGCTGTGAGTTGCAACAAGGGCCGGCGTATAAGATCTTGCGCATATCTTTTTGTTACCACACGAGTCACGCATCACTGCGGCGCGTGAAAAACTGGCGAGGGTTGTGCCCACATTGATCTCAGGCTATGATGAGCGCGGACATTGTGATGATCAGTTAGATGTCGAATGATGTCATATTCCGAGACGCTCACTTCTGTGCAGCTGACAGTATGATTTGAATGTTAACACTGAAAGAGTCAAAGCCGTGAACGCAATAGGCTCAAGGACTTGAGCAAAGAGGCGCTAAAATCTGTCAAGCAGGAGTCTGGATTCAGACACCATGTCAATGAGTACTGCTGACCCTAAACAGGCAAAACACGATCACGTGAGAACGACACGTGGGTCGCGCGGTTCGACTTGGTCCAAAACAGAAGTCACACTTCAGAGCATCCCATCCTCTTCTTCCTCGACTGTCCTGCTCATTCCTTCCGCCGCTTAGCGACACCTATCGTGCTGCATCTTGCCACGATGGCGTCTCCACTGGACCTCTACGAGTCTCTCGATGTTATTGGAACAGGGTCATTTGGCATCATCAGGAAAGTACGCCGCAAGAGCGACGGCCAGGTCAGTCTAGCTTGAGCGCTACGCCACACAGAATATCAACGAGTGGGCACAGATCCTTGCGCGTAAGGAGCTGAATTTTGAGCGCATGTCGGAGCGCGACCGCAAGCAAATCGTCTCAGAAGTGTCGGTATTGCTCTGCCAACATCATAGCCACAACTAACACTCCCTCAGCAACATTCTCAAGGACCTCCACCATGAACACATCGTGCGATACCACGACCGCCATGTCGACCGAGATGCCGGCATACTATACATTCTCATGGAGTTTTGCGGTGGGGGCGACTTGTCTACCGTCATCAAGCTCAGCCAACGGCAAAATCGGCCGATCCCCGAAGACACTGTCTGGAACTACTTCATGCAAATTCTGCTCGCGCTAAATCATTGCCACCATCCCAAAGGTAGTGGGGAGTCTGACGGCCGGGAGAGACGGCCACAAATTCTTCATCGAGACCTGAAGCCTGACAACGGTGAGTCATACGCGAGAGTAGCCCCCTTGGAGTTGTTTACACATCGTCCAACAGTCTTTCTCGACGAGAAAAACACGGTGAAGCTCGGCGACTTTGGACTCTCGAAGGCACTGGCACAGGCCAGTTTTGCCAACACCTACGTCGGCGTAAGTTGCTGTCACACAAGCCGTTCTAGCTACTCAAGGTGGATTCCAGACGCCGTATTACATGTCGCCCGAGCTCATGCAGGAGAAAGCATATGATTCAAAATCCGACATCTGGTCGCTAGGGTGCCTCATTTATGAACTTTGTGCCTTGAAGCCACCATTCCACGAAGCAAAGACCCACGCGGAGCTGAGCATACTGATCAGGTGTGCATGTCGGTGCTCTATGTGAGAAACATGCTCACTCTACCCTCTACCAGAAACGGTCGCATACCCCCATTGCCAAAGGGCTACAGTCCGGCACTGACCGGCGTCATCAAATCCATGCTCAACTTAAACGTGAGTTGTTATTGTCGTGCGCTCGGGTGGGGTCTCACCATGTACGACAGCCTGCCATGCGCCCGTCAGCGGCGCAATTGCTCTGTCACGAACGTATAGAGCTCGCGTTCAAGGTATCAGAGACGCAGAAACTGTACGTGTATTCGAGCATGCATGCCGCGAGACCATTCACGCTCTTCCTAGGCTCGATGCTGTGAAGATCCACAAAACCGCGCTCTTGAATAAAGAACGCGACCTGGTCGCACGAGAGCAGGCTGCTGCGGCGAGCGAAACGTCACTGGCATCTATCATTGCTGCCAAGGACGAGGAGATCGCTTCCCTTCGGTCGCTTGCAGCATCCGCCGAGAATCTCCTACAGACACGTGTGCGAGAGGCCATTGCACGACGCGACGAGGAGCTGCGTGCAATGGTGCTGAAGCAGGAGCAAGAGGTTGCCGCCCGCATCGCACGGCGCGAGGAGGAAATCATGGAGGCCGTGCGACAGCGAGAAGAGGAGATCTCGCGCATGTGGGCCGACTGGGAGGCAAAGACGCGCGAGGCGATGACCGCGGCGGTGGAGGAGCGCATGGAGTGGGTGCGGCAGCAGGCTGAGGAGATGGACCGCGAACGATCACGGCTTGATGACGTGCGGGACGACTTGGAGAGGAAGATGAGCACGCTCGAGGCGGCCGAGAGGAAGGGTACCTCCCGTTCGTACTCCTATGCTTTCCAGGATGTACTGATCTACATCTGGGCACAGGTACGGCTAAGGCGAAGACTCCGCTGGAGGAGGTCCGCAATATCCTCGCTCCACTTGCTCGCCTTGCGGGCTCGCCCGACGCAACACCCGTGCGACCCACTCAGCCGGCAAAACTGCCTGTCTTTGAGACGCCACGACCGGCCGCGATGAAGGCCACGCCCAGCTTTCCGTCAAACCTTGCGCCGCCATCGGCAATGAAGGGCGTTATCCTCACCGCTACGGGTGAGCCCGTCGCTACGCCGTCACCAGCAGAGCTCGCGAAGCTCTTCGTCGCCACGCCCAAGGTGGGGCTGAACTTTGCGAGGATCTTCGAATTTGATTCCGAGGCAGAGGAGGAAAGCGAAGACGAGGAGGGTTATGAGACAGATACGCGGCCTCCGCCAGCTCCATCAAGGCGGTCAAGCCAGGGCCTCGTCCCTGCAGTACCAGATGACGATGACGTCACTCCACAACCGTCTCCGGCCGTTCGCCCGACACGACTACGCCGCCCGTCAATCCGTGCATCATCTCAACGGCCGCTCATCGATGCTGCCCTTGCTGCTCCTGCCGCTCCTGCTCCTTCTGCATCAGCCCGTACACGAACGTCGCGGCCGCCGTCTTCGGCATCGACGGCATCGAGCGCATCAAGTTCGTCTGCCACATCGTCCGCGTCGAGAACGACCTCGAGTGCAAAGGAGCACCAGACCGCTGCCCCGGCGCCTGCAGTAGAATACGACTTGTCAGACGAGGAGAACCTGCCCAGTCCTTTCCTGAAGAGGCAGGAACGCGATGCGTATGCACGCACGGCGTCAGCACCCGTTGCGCCTTCTTCACATGCGCCAGCAGCAGCAACAGCACCTGCACCCACGGCGCCCGTTCGCAACGCCCCGAGGAAGAGTGGGCCAACATTACGCGCAATGGCCGTAGTGAACGCCGCGAACGCTGCGAGGGGAACTACTACAAATGCGAGCAGGGCGCCTTCACGGACACACTCTGCGGCCGTCACGTCGAATGTACGCCCGTCGATCGCGAAAGCGCACAAAGCGAGCGAAGAGGCGCGTAAGGCGCTGTTCCGCCCATGACAGTCCTCGTTTCCCGAGTCATTCGTGCTGTTCATGGCGGTGTTGTGATCTTTGTCTTGTTATCGGGATGCGCGTCGCGTCTGCGTGTTTTTATCTCTTTATTGGCATTGTTGTGACAATCAATATCTGCATCCTGCTGCCCCACGCGCAAGTCTTATTGTACATAGCTTATACATCATCAGTATTTGGGCATATAGGTGTCTGTCTGTTCATACAATCCAATCCGTATCCATACATGTAGTCTTACAAATGGACTGAGGTTAGCATACAGTGAGAAATGAGACTGGCCGTCGGTATGTGGGATCACAGCGTGATGTCAATGGTTATCCCGACTACTGCCTCGGACTTGCATGAGGTACCCGAGTCGCGCCCAACGAAAACCGGAGCAAGAGCGCACTCAGCTTCGTTCTTGCACTCGTCGGCTTCCGTCAGATCAACAATGAGGGGCGTGAAATCTAGATCGACGGGATTGTAGAAGCTCGAGCCCGCGGGTTCCGTCAAGTCGATGATCATGTCGTCGTATGCCTGCTCCTCCTTCGTCAAGTCGATAATCTCCTCTTTGGTGTCCCCCACTGTCAGATCCACAATTGCACCTTCAGGCACCTTGGCGTCGACGACTTCCACCTTATCCTCTGTGCTTCCATACGCCGTGTTCAATGCCCCGCCTCCGTGTTCCCCGCTCTCAGGCTCACTCGATGTTACCTTCATGGGTTTAATATCGTCCTGGACGTCATTAAGGTCCATGTCGACATCCTTGCTCTCTTCGTCGGTGAGCTCGCGAGAGAAGCCCTCCGTGACTACGACGTCCTGCTTAAGCATTTCCGGACTCGTTCCGCAAGCAGCCTGCGGACCTGCAGCGACCACAGGTGACTCTACGTGATCGACCACGACAGGCGTTTCGGCCGCCGAGGTGGCTTCGTTAAGGCGCGCTCCTTGAGGTTCAGATGCCTCTGAACCATCCATCTTGACGTCAATATTCTCCTCGATGACTTGGGGTCCTGCTGCGGTGTCAGGGTGAATGACGCCTTCGGCTCTCATAGGGAACGCTTCTATGATCGGAGGGGTATCCGACTCGCCACTGGTACCTCGCTAAAGGCGCAGACCAGAACCGTTAGTCGGTTTGTATTGCTTCACCGCGAGAAAAACGCTGCCATACCTCAGCACCATTATGGTCGTCCGAGCTTGGCTGCACAGCGGAAACCTGCGGCCCAGACGGCGGCTGCGACAGGCTCTCTCGTCTCTCAGGAGGAGCGTCGTCGCGGATGGACATGCTGTGATACTGGACATGTAAAAAAATATTAGCGCATTGTCGTAGGCTCACGAACATCCACTCACGACTTTCGCTTTGCGGTGGGGGAGTTTCCCGCTCGCTTGGACAGAAGCGCGGCGGATGCGGGAGAGGCGCCATCGTCGGCGAAGTTGAACAGTTGAGATGACCTGCCTTCTCGTAACGTTATCGGCGTCCTCACGTCCCGAGCCATTGCGCTGCCCCTCAGGCTCAGGCGACGACTCGGTTTCGGCGCTGATATTCTCCCCTTGTACATTCTCAGGCTCAGGCGACGGCTCGGCTCCGGCGTCTATATCGTCGGTTTCTATATTCTCGTACTTTGCGCCATAGAGGGGCAGCGGTGGTTGGCCCTCGCAGCGCTACGTTTTACGAATGAGCTGTGCTACGTAGTACGTGACACATTATAATATAGTTTACCTTGAGCTCGAAGACACATATGTCGAATCCGTGTATACCTTTCCTCTGCTCGAACTGCACGCCCAAACCAGATCAGCTCTGTGATGTATGAGAGCAGCAATGTAATGCACACTTACATGTGTGACGGTATAAAGCCCATCATAGCGGTAGACTGTAGGGCCATCGCTAAGACATGAAGAAGAGATCGGTTCGCAAACATCCTGAGCTGTAATCATGAAACACACAAACATGGTGCCAGGAGCGAATTTTGAACCCAATTTAGACCCTCTGATGACCCGGACTTTTCTCCTATGACCAAACTCAAGTGATTTCTAGAGTAACCAATTACTAATATTTGAGTTCTAATGGAGATCAAACGGCACTCACCACCAATGCGGCGTTATGAGGGTGATCCAGCCTCTGGTCTGACGTCTGCATATGCGTACGTTCCTAACATTGATTGCTCTTATCATGAGGCCTCTAGGATCCGACATTGGTACTTACATCCTGGCCTCCGGCTCCGGTATAGATGCTATGAATATTAATTATCATTTTACACAATATATCAAGGCTACCTATAACTTACATAGTCTCCCCCTTATCATAGTCGTCCTGATAACCTCCACTAATAACAATACTATAGGTACCATGTATCTGGCTGCCATGAATACCTGCTCGAGTAGCCCTGTGTACACCTGCTCGAAGGCAGTCCATTCTAATTGATTTGCTCAGTTAGTGAGATCGACCATCTGAATATGACACAGAAGACCTAGTCGCCCATGTTTCCCCAATCTTCACACCGGGAGGATGACCAAATAGCTCGCTATTAACCAAAGATCAAAATAAGAAAGGAGTGCATGATTATGTGAGCAATACTCGATTGACTGTGATTTCAAGCGCTTTTTTTCACTGGGTGAAAGGCCCTTGCCACTTAATTTATCGACGAGCAGATGTAGGTCCATTGTCCTTCAATGGAAGTTCGGCTGGTAGGAGGTTAGGAACGGCCTTGACAATGATCGTGGCTAAGCACTCATGAGACCACACGATAGTACGGAGATAGCCGAGATCCCGACATGTGCAATGAGATCACATCGTGTAACGGTGAGAAGGTTGTTTTCGACGATGCGCACGACTTTGATATGTGCAGCTCGGTTATGTTACTCGGTCCCACTTACAACCTCTTGTATGTCGAACGTGCCCATTGGAATTGCTTCCCCAGCCCGGATCCAGCCTTGGGCACAGGATTCAGGAGATCGGGTGCAATGGTCCTTCATCTAGCAGCATATGTCTTTTGTCGGGAGCCCTGCGTATGCATAAGGACGCACACACGATTTCGGACAGGAGTTCCGCGCTGAGGAGAAGAATATGTTCTACTCCCATTTACCTTTGCCTCGTGCTCTTGAGTACGCATGCTGTGCGCGGGCCCGGAGTGTTCTCCGCTCAGGGGGGCCAATGAGCACGTCCACATGTGTGCGCTGTGTGTGTCAGGCAACACACGGAGATGCGAGCACGCTGCTCCCAGCGCTGGCCGCCTTCGAGCACACGGTATGCAATCTGCACTTCCGGCTGATCGATAGGCCCCTTTATCTCATCCGTCGTCTCCAAATGCCGTCTATGGCCCTCTCTCTCCATCCCCCCTCCATCCCTCTCTCTTCCTAGCACCCTCCTAGCACCTTGCTAGTCCGACCGCCCTTGTTGCGCCCGCTGGTTGCTGTACGGTCCTTCATTCCAGAATGCGTACGTTCAACCCCCAAAGCGCTTGCACCTCCGCTCACGTCCCGTTCGCAGGTCTGATCATCCGCGACAACGCTGCTAACGTCGGGGAGTACATTGGTGACTACATCGCCAAGCGGTACGTCTTTCCAAATCCTTGCATGATGCTCCGATACTCTTCCGGTCGCATCATCGCAAGTCCGAGCATGCCATGGACCTACGATCATGTCGATCGGGGTGTGGAAAGGGAGCGAAGTGATAGTCAGACAAACAAGTCTGACCCTGTTTGAAGCATCAATGATTTCGAACCTACGCCAGAAAAGCCGTTCGTCCTCGGCCTCCCCACCGGCTCCTCGCCGATTCCGACGTACAAGCACCTCATCAAGCTCGTCAAGGAGGGAAAGCTTTCGTGCGTCTCTCTCTCTTTCTGCCCGGCCGCACGGCTCTGACCCATTGCGCAGCTTCAAGAATGTTGTGACGTTCAACATGGATGAGTACGTCGGCCTGCCGCGCGACCACTCCGAGTCGTACCACACGTTCATGTTCCGCGAGTTCTTCTCGCATAGTGCGTACCCTACTCCCGCTCAACACACTCGAAACTGACACTCCCACCGCAGTCGACATCCCGCCGTCGCAGGTGAACATTCTCGACGGGAACGCCAAGGACCTGATCGGCGAATGCAACGCGTACGAGGCCAGGATCAAGGCGCACGGCGGGATCGAGCTCTTCCTCGGCGGGATCGGCGAGGACGGGCACATCGCGTTCAACGAGCCCGGGTCGTCGCTCGCCTCGCGCACGCGCATCAAGACGCTCGCGTACGACACCATCCTGGCGAACGCGCGGTTCTTCAACAACGACATCGCCGCGGTCCCGCGCATGGCGCTCACCGTCGGCGTCGCCACCGTGCTCGACGCGCGCGAGGTCGTCGTCGTCGTCACCGGCCAGCGCAAGGCCCTTGCGCTTAGCAAGGCCATCGAGGAGGGCGTGAACCACCTCTGGACGCTCTCTGCGCTGCAGATGCACCCGTGGGCGCTGATCGTCGCCGATGAGGACGCAACCGCTGGTGTGTACCTGTGTCTTGTCGAATGCAATGCCTTCTCACGCATGTGCTGCTGTGCAGAACTTCACGTTAAGACCGTCAAGTACTTCAAGTCCATCGAGCGGGTGCAGGATGAGGTTGAGGAGATGCATGCCAAACTCCGTGCGGAGGGCAAGAGCGATCAGGTTGGCAGCATGGAGTGAGCGGTCGTGTCGAATGTAACGGTCATTCTTGAGGCAAAGCCGCGGCGCAGTGTCTGATATATTCTGACATCTTGGCTAGAGTAGAACAAAACGATCATAGTGTAATATACCATCATTTCACCACCTCCCACCTCCTGATATTGTGCTTACATATCGGTAGGCTGAAAGATAATGCAATAGCAGTGAAATACATACAATATCGCGTACATTCATGACCTTGCAGAGCGCAACACACAACCCATGGAGTGATAAAAAGCATGTCATGTTGGCCATACGTTCCATACTTTTGCGAGAGGATGTGAGTGCCGATACGGGCACAATTGCCCGAACATACATGAGATGGCCATGGTCGACAGCAGATAGCGTAAAAACGATCTCATTCCGACCCGCTTAGTCCCACCCTGACGGGCCAGTCGGCTCCGCACCCCAGCCAGACGCCCCTGTGGGCTCTGCTGCCCAGTCGGTGGGGCCAGCTGCCGCCGGCTCTGCCGACCAGTCAAGAGCACCTGGTAGAGCGTCAGACACGCTACAAGCAAAGTGACATACCACTCACCACCCTCGGCGGCAACCAATCCAGGGTTGATCCCACCAGCGGCAGGGGCCGCGGTGACGTCCCACTCGTTGAGAGGCGCCTCGGCAGCCTCGCCCGCGGCCGCCGCCGCCTTCGCCTGTGCCTCCTCCTGCTGTTGCTTCTCGACCTCCTCGGGGTCACGGTAGAAGAACATGTCGACCATGACGTTCCAGCCATCGGTCGTGCGGGGGATTGTACCGCGGAGGCGGAGGACCTCGCGCGCAAGGAGCCACCACATGAGACCAATCGAATGGCGCGACTTGTTGTTTGTCGGGATCGCGACGTCGACAAACTTGAGCGGCGCATCGGTGTCGCAGAATGCGATCACGGGGATGTTGACGTATGACGCCTCGCGGATTGCTTGGTGGTCCACGCGCGGGTCCGTAACGACAATCAGGCGCGGCTCCTTGAAGGAGCGAGTGATGTAGTTGGTGAAACTACCGGGCGTGAAGCGGCCTGCGATGGCCTGTGCACCGGTGTTGGCGGCGTACTTGAGGACAGCGCGGTGGCCGTAGGGGCGCGCGGAAATGACACAAACGTCATTCGGGTTCTCAATCGCGGCAATGATACGGGCAGCGAAGACAAGCTTCTCCCAGGTCTTGCCGATGTTGAGAATGTGAATACCTGCGGATGCGTCGCATGCGGTTTCTAGGCAAGGGACAGAAGGCAGACTAACCGTCAGCTCTTCGCTTCCAGACGTATGGGAGCATCTGCTTGTCGCAGTTCTTGCTGCCAATGTGCGCCTGCGCCGCGAGGAGGAGCTGGATCTCCTCATCGGTCGCGCTGAGGACGGACGGAAGTTTTGACGACATGGTGGACCTAAGGACGGCGTCAGCATCCACACGCTACGAATGCCATCCATCGCGTATATGCGCCGTTTTGCGCCATTCTTTCGCCGAAAGGGCCAACAGAGCATCAGGGAACGTACCGCTTGGGTTGTTTTGAGGACGTCGACGCGGGCGACGTTGAGCAGAGCTTGGGCAGCGATTCCGGCGAGCTGGGCGTTGTCCTTCCTGGGCGCCAAATTCACAATTCGCGCTTTCCCGTAGCTCTCCCACGCCACGGCTCGTATCGGCGCTTATGCTCGCATGCTCGACTGCTTGAGATTTTGTCCTCATCATAGGCCAGCAAGTGGGACATTTTCGACGAGCATCATCGCTTTGGATATAACGCATGGAACTTTTACTACTGGAATACAGATCTGGATACACGCAGCAGCTCAGCAATTTCCTGTGGACCCGTTTTGCAGCACCCTCCAATGAGGCATCCTGACCAAGCCTTGCTGCCAGCTACCCTCTGCACGTCCGCCCAGACGTGTACTGCCCAATTCTGTCTGATGCTTTCAGCGCCTTTTGACCACGTCTGGCTTGCAGCATCATACACATCGCCCCTATTCGGATACACGACAAGCCATGGGCTCTGAGACCTGCCTGCGGTGTTGCCCAGTCCCTCCATTATGTTCGTCATCTCCTTCAACAGCCCGCCAATGAATTGCGGCTCGGTGCAATTCACTCCGAGCCCCCATGGCGCCGGTGACTGCGGTGCACCCAGTCTACCCTCACCCATGATCGCCTCGACAACTATTCTAACAGTCAGCCTGCCTTCACCAGGGCTGCGTTCCTGTGGGAACCGCCCGCCGGGGTAGACAGTGCTGATCCACCACGGCTTCGCCGCCGACGCACCATTCTCTTGCACGAGCAGCTCCATTGCGTGCCTAATGGCCCTGATCTCCCTCACCAGTGGCACCGTCTCGAACGCAACGAAGTCGATCGCCGCCCACGTCTCCACATCTTCTACCAAGGCACGCAGTCGCTCCAGGTGAAAAGCTGTCAACGCCGCGACTGCTTTCTCTTCCTGTGCTTTGCCGTCGTCTGAGTCTGGGAACGCATTGTAGTTGCCTCCCTCTTGCGAGAGGCCTTTGGGTCCGTACGGCGGTGGGTAGAACCCGTCGAACTCCTGTGCTGGTGAGAGTGTCGCACCGAAGGGCCCCAGCGACAGGGCGATCTTGATGTCTCTGACATGTGCCGTGCCAGAAAGGCCTGTTGATGTGTCGTCCGGTGCTCCCTCTTCCTTGTATTGTCTCCTGGCCTCCGTCGCAAGGAGCACCGCTTTGCGTAAGATGCGCACCCCGTCCTCGCGGGTATACCCCGAGCGTTCGAACGTCTGGAATGCGCATTGATACCTGCGTGTAGTTCCTGTCAGATGCCTTGTTCAAACACGGAGAGTGTCGGATTGCATTCGCGCACGTCGAAGTGAGAATCACGTCTGCCCCAGCCCGTAGGAATGCAAGATGCGCGGCGATGATAAGCTCAGGATTGTCTTCGATTGGTCTCGCAGACCACAGGGGCGTCGAGATATCTTGATGGAAGACGTCTTCAAGGGTTGTTCCCTAAGAATATATTGCGATCAATTTTGTACATAACGGATGTGCATAGGCGTGGCGTTACACACAAAGCCTCCGTCAAGTATGAGGACTGGTTTCCTGCTTGGAGTAGTCGCGTGTATGTGCATATGCTACTCTAATTTGCCTCAGTGTAAGTGCGAGAGATGTACAGGCATGCCTTGAGAAGCAACGACCACTTAGCCTAGACTTGGGTATGATGACGCAATCGTGTACTACGACGGCCAACGCCGTTCTCTGCTGCTCGCGTGTAAATATAAACCCAAGACAAGTTCAGAAACGCTCCAAAATAGCCATGTTCTATTCTCTCTATAGATAGGTATGTATATATTATCTTACACGACCTCGTACACGTCTATGATACATAACAAGCGAACGTTTTGTCGATCGGCTCACATCTGCATTGAGCACGTTAAAACTCAGGAGACTCGAGCACGAATAGAACACTACGCACCACGGATTGCCATATGCGCTCCACCCAATTGCGTGGCGGGGGTTCATCGTACCTATAAGAAAAAGAAGGGCGCGTCGGTGAGCTCGAACACGACAAATCTACGAGGGCTACACGCACGATGCAGCGATCGCCTCTGCGAGGCCCGTTTTCAAGTCCATGTCCTCTGGCCGGACGAACGCCACGCGCGACCAGAGTCGTCGGGCAACGTACAGCGCGGGGAAAATTGCCATGGGCAAGTAGTTGGTCACGAACGTCGCTGTGTTCCAGCTATCCTTCAGGAAAACCGACCAACCACTGAGCTGCATGCGCGTGCGCACATTAGCGGCGCGAAGAGGTGGAAAGGAAACAGAGCGCGCGTACCAGACAAACGATGAAACATAGGATTGCCGCATACCACGCGGCGAAGGGCTGGAATGGTGACTGGTATGGCAGCGATTTGCGGTCGATACCCTGCACCTTGAGACCCTGGCGGAAGCGGAGGTACGTCACAGAGATGGCGAACCAACTCGACAGGCCAGCAATGGCCGTCCTGTGCATTCCAAGGCGGTAATTATGTCAGCAAACATCCTGATTGCGCGGGCGTGTTGCGCACATATTCGCAAGCCAGCCGAAGACCTTGCCACTACCGCTTCCGACATCCATGTACGCGAGACAACCCAGGACGGCATTCAAGATGAAGGCGGCCCATGGGACACCACGCTTGTTCACCTTGGTGAAAATCCGCGGAGCGTTGCCATGGATTGCCAAGCTGTCTACTCGGAAGTCAGCAAGACTGCAATATCCTCGGCTACCGGACTCACAAAGTGCGCGGGAGCTGCAATACAAATCGCTGTTCCCTGCCGACCATGCAGACGTGAGAACGCACGCATTGATGAGCTACGGAGCGGTTCAATCACGTGTTTTCAGAGTCTACGACAGAAGCTTACCGATGGCAGACCCTTAATTCCCGCGATCTCAATAGCAATCACGAAGGGCGACGCCGCTGCAGTTCCGTCCGCGAGGTTGAGATTTGGATTCGTGTACGGAACGAGCAGTCCAATAATAGTCACGCCGCCAATGTAGAAGAGCAAGATCCGGATGTACACGTTCCGAATCGCCCGCGGGATGTTGCGCCGTGGGTTCTTCGCCTCCGCGCCCGCTATCGCGACGACTTCTGTGCCGATGAAGCTAAACGCAGCCTGCGTCATGACCGCCCACCAGGCGAGGAAGCGGCCCTTCGCACCGCCGATGCCCCCGAACTGCGCGAACGGCCCTGGGTGCTTCCAGTAGCGGAACCCGATGCGATCGTGGTTTGGCCCACCACCGAGGTCAAGCACGATGCCGAGGATGATGAGGCCCGTGATCGTCAACACCTTGATGGACGCGAAGATGAACTCGGCTTCGCCATAGATGCCTGCGAATGGGGTCAGCTGCTGTGAGGGCAGAGTCCGTGGCATACGCACCAGGCCCGAACATATTGAGCAGGATGACGACGCCAAGGCACATCGTGATCCATGCTGCTACGTTTACTGAGCTGTCCCTGATTCCAAGATGAGCGCAACAACTGTGACACAGGAAACATGTAAGCTTACCAGTATCCAATGAGAACGGATGCAGCGCTTAGCTCCGCTGGCAAGACGATCGTCCAGTTGTACCCTAGTAATACCGGTGTTAACGTGCCCTCAGCGAACGTAGGCTCGCGGGACTCACAATACAGCCAGCCGAGTGCGAATGACCACGCGGGATCGACAAAGCGTTCCGCGAAGGTGATGTGACCACCGGGAATAGGCAAGAAGGCCGCCATCTCCCCGAGGGAAATCTTGCATTCCTATCAGCGCATGTGCATGTACGAAGGTGATAGATGACGCACCATTGTGCAATAGCACAACGAGCCGATCGTGAGGTAGCCCAGCAGGAGACCAACCGGTCCACCATTCTCCAATGAGGATGCGGTGCCGAGGAAGAGACCGGTACCGATCACGCCTATGAGGAGAAATGCATAAGCCGCGCACTATACAGAATCATGCAGCGCGAGCACGACATACCTCCAATACTGCGACACAATCGGCGACTATGAGCTCACCGCATACGCTTACTCAACGACAAGCCGACGCACCTAATCATGGAAATGTGCCTGTTTTTCATCTTCCGCTGCAACCCCGGCTCAGCGGGCGACATGGAGACGTTTGCCTCCGAGTCGTTGTAGTCAACCGCCTCGACGTCCGTCTCGACATACTTCTCCTTGCTCTCGGTCATGGTGCGAAGGAAGATGGGTCACAGAGGAGACGAGCCGTGGAATGTGCGGAAGACCGCTATATGTGTCGTAGGCACGATAAGCCCTTTCGGCTTGGCGTACAATTCATCTCGTTGGGATCTCGGAAAAATGGTCCACCACGAACCTCCCCTGCGCGCATCGGGGCGGAGCGCTGTAATGTGCCTGGCCGTTGGTTGGCTGCACCTCCGAGTAATGAACAGACTTACAACATACCTGCTCGGTGTGACCCGTAGCCCACAACCAAACTCAACGAACCCCTGTATATGGATGGGAAGGAGCACTAGTCTCCATCAGGCTCCGATGTAAATTTGCGTCGGCAGCAAGCACTGTAATCTGTCCTCCAATAGGCGGGCCCCAGGCACAGCGAGGGTGGGGCGCTGCCTAATATGGTCGTTGACAGGTCGATCACCGAGGCGCGCGCTTGATATATTTTCCCAGCAAATCACCACATTTGAATTGATCAACTTCGCACCAGTCTGTGAGCGAGTCTGGAAGATCTGCCCGTAAGTCATCTCACCGCTCGAGAACGCTGGTTGCAGAAACGGATCCTAGCTACTTTTGGTCAGCCTGCGGAGGATCCGGGTTGCTGAAGCGCAGCAGGTTGATCGCTAATGAAGCGTATAGTGGGTTGCATATTGGTTGCGAAGCGCACTGCCACCGCTTGCAAGGATTTACTTGCACATGATGGAGAGCCTCTAGTCGGATACTGTTGGACTTTCCAAGCACGAGAGCACAAAGAGGCAGACAGGAAAAAAAGGTGAGGGTGGTTATAGAGCGTGGGACTTACACAGCTGTTGAACACGGCCGACCTTGCATGCAATACGACAGTGACAGGGGCGCAATTTAAATTTGAGGGTTGTTCCATTGATCATGCCAACTTGACGATACCGTGATCACCGACGTCCAAAGCGAGTAAGGGTGCTACCAAATGAGTATATGCAACCTGTTCGGCGCACTAATTATGTGACACCGTTTGTGACCCTTCACTCACTCGGAATCATCGTCGTATGTGATCCCAAAAGGACGTGCAGGTATTTTGAACATGAGATGGGGATTATCCACTCCGTATTCACGTGTCGGTAACTCCTGCGACTCTCACTATATACCACATTGATTGACGTCTCGTATGGGTTTATCACATGTTGGTCACTTCGTTAGCCCGTATGATCTAGAAGAGTTTTAAGCTCCCGCGATACTTGCTGGCACAGCTCCCGGATGCGTAAAATGCAGGATACGGCTCTCCAAGTTGTTCATAAACCGATAGCTCATTTGTGCATCATGCATGTAATAATCGGGCCAGGAACGGGACAGCAGTGGGAGTTAGAGCATAGGTCCTAGACGGTATGAAGAGCTTCCCTACAGGGATGCGTTGGCTCATCTGGGTACTTAGTGTGAGGCAATCCACATCGAGCGAGTCGATAGCATTCACACACTGTGGACTATGGGCTGCCCTTTTCCATAAAGGTCGGACGTGCTGGTTTCTCCAGTGTCAATGCCTAAGTCCTTCCTTTTGTGCGTAACTCACTCTTTGCCCGATATACGACAACCCCATATCGACAGAGCGATCCCGACCGGTGCAGTAGTTGAGCGCACACGGAATACGCGTGTTGTACGAGAACATCATATCGCGAAGCAGGGCATCGCAGGCCGAGGTGCGGGTGGTCCTGCTGTGCCTGGCGCTTACAGTCGTCCCAGGATCTAGCTCTGCGCATAGATATTCCTATGCGGCGGTGCGTCTTCGAGATGGCGTCTCAGGTTGGGCAGGATGGTGACCATTTCGTCCTTAACATTCGCAGGATACAGCAGTCATCTAGGTGTACCGATGGATTGTGGCTTCGATCAGGACATCAACGGTGTGAGACGAACCTTCATTGTTATCTCATGTCCTGTTCGGAAGGTATCCTTCGAGGAGTTGTGACGTCTCAGCGACTTCGAGTGTATACACTGACGGGACATAAGGTGACCTGAATGAAACGCGATAGATTGCACACGGTGATGCTCCTGATCGGGCTCGCTGTCGAACTCACAAATGTCCGGATGGCTCTCACAAGGTTGAGGCAGCCGTCTTTATCGGAGAAAGCATACTAAGGTGGACTCGGTCGGCTGTGAGCAGGCTACATGACAAGATTCGCGTCCATGCGTTTGCGTGAACGCTACAAAAGGTGAGCGGACCATGACAAAACGTGACTGGCGATACCGGAGCTTGAGTCGCTTTGTGTCGGGCCGCTTCTTTCTCGTTTAGGTGTAATTTTCTACATCATCTTTTCGCCTAGCTTCGACTCAAGTGGCTGTGCGCCTCATAAGGACATAATTAGTCCAATCCTTCCATGGAGAAGGCGTCACTCGGAAGCCCTTCTGCTCGAATCCCATGCTTTGATAGATTTTGGACTGGAAGGATGCATGGATCAAGAGAACCGTAACATGGCGAGGATGTGCACTCAGGCTCACCGTCATCTCCAAGCTAGTCCCAAGCGCCATGATAGCACCCGTCTCCTTCGCCTGCCGTAGCTCTGTCAGCCGATGTGACTTGAGCTCCTAGGATGCTTACCTTTGCGTAGACCAAGTCGAATATCGCGGTTGCTACACCCTTGTTCTGATAGTCTTCCCGAATCATAGCGAAGCTGCACCAGTACGTGCTCTTTTGAACCTGGCATGCGCCGTGTGAGATGCGTTTGGAAGAATTTCATGGAGATCCTCCTCACATCCGAGAAGCCAAATGATTCTTCTAAGAATTTGGAGAAGTCTTTCGCTAGCTAAGCCGTTGATAAGCTGTGGAGCGCCTCATATTATGATCTATTGCAGTGCTGTACTGACCACATTCTCGCAGTACTCTCGACCTTCGGGCGACAGCTTCTTCCAAAATTGGTTCCAACCGAGTTGACGCTCCTCCTCGCTGCAGACTGCTTTGTCGTTTGTTCAAGTTTCTCGACATATAAGACTTACGTAGTCAACGGTACTCGGCCCGGAGGCATCCACATCGCAAAGCCGACAAGTGTGTTGCTCTCATCAATTGCAGCGTACATCTCTCCGGAGATGAGCGCGGAAGCAGCTACAAAACCTCGTGCCCAGTCCGGAAACAGATCGAGGTTCCCGCCTGTCAGTGAGGGTATCGTAGGGTCTGATACACGCAATGAGTTTCCACGATACGGATATATATGAGAGTCTACACTAACCGTTCCTCATGAGCTTGACAACTAGTTGTACAGCCTCTTCCACCAGTTTTCCTCCAAATCCAACCATTAACAAGAAATCGATGGGAAGATATGGCCACAACACATACCATCGGGTTTCTCAATATGAGATATTGTCAGGTTTGAAGGAGCCATTGTTCAGAGTCGCCGTCCTGGTCAGAATAGCTACTTAGTCTCAGAGGCGATCCGCCGCGACCTTTAAGACTGTCGCGAGGCCGATGGCCGTAGTTTCGAATGCCTGATGTGATCGCCGATGGACCATGACCACAAGATAAGTATCGTCGTTCTTGTACTCCGTACGCTCACCGTGGAGGCCGAGGGAGAAGTGTCTCATGTTTGATACATCGACCCTTCAAAGTTCAATGCTGTGTCCCGCTTGTATAGAGCCTCCTCCTTATTTCGACCATTCACAGTACGCTGCCTACGATCTGAGTATCGTATATCGTCTCGTCTACTTACACACGTCAGGTACACAGACACCAAATGTATATCGGCTCTATGACACTACGATTCTCAGAAGCTCAATTCGAGGATTTGCGCTTGAAAGAAGTTTTTTGCGGAAATCAAGCTAGATAGCGAACTTGGGGACCCCGGGCACCGAATGAGGTTGTCAGTGATCAGTCGATCATTCCGAAAGTTCGATCGAAGGACTGAGGGTGAGCCGGGGAGCGAATAGCTCAGCTCAAGCTCAGCTTTCTGTGTTCATGGAGCGACTACTATCTCATACGACCTACTTACAAGAAGGGCAGGACTGTGTACCAGAAAGCCCCTTCAGATCTCCACGCGACTCCAAGGCTGTCATGAACAATACAACCAGGTGCGTGGCGATGCCATCACTGCCATACAGAAATATGAACTGCACTCACTTTAACAGTATTACCACAGATCCAGTTGCGACAGCCATGTCTTGGCTTGTCCCGATGGAGGTTTGGCTGATGATCATCGATGAGCTCGGTGCAGAACGCGAGTACGATGCGTTGGAAGCGTGCGCGAGGGCTACTGAAGGATCGATACAAGAGAGAGCATGGCGGTATGTTCCAGACGAAATGGCGTTCAGGACGCAGGAAGATGTAACGAGCATCAACCTAGCGCTACGCTGGGAGGGTCCATTCAAGGTGCGCATCGAGGGAGGGAAGCGAAGCGGTGAGCGGCTTCCGATTGCACACCTGGCGACATTCGCGTCGAGGCTCGCACGGAAATGGACCCGCGTGGAGATATTGACGATCGAAAGAGCGGAATGGCGGGCACAGGATCTTGATCCTCACACCCTCTTGCTCAACCTGGAATGCTTCTCGATCAGTTCCCTCCACCTGCATGATGTTACGTTCCCCTCGATCCTGACGTTTTGGCGCCTCGTGTGCGCCCTGCCCCACCTCAAGTAGCTTCTCCTCCGTCACGTCGACATTGTCAAGACCGCCGTTGATGCCCGGACGGTCTCGGCCTTGCGCCTGCTGTCCGCTACCAGTCTGAAGGTCATCTATATGATGCGGCCTGACGAATACGGCGTCGATCGACCTGGATCACTCGCCACGCACTTTGCTGGGCTGCTTCAAGTGATCTTAGCGCAGACCCTGCCATCTCTCAAGACGCCTCCATGGAGCAATCTATGGGGTCTGAACTTGTGGGCCATCGCCCTTCCGACGGCTACCGCCTTTGGACGCTTGCTTTGTGCCTTTACTGCCCTCGTTAGCCTACGTATCGACGGGCCATGCACGTTTTCAGAACATGGCTTCAATCCCAAAGATGTCCATGTAGACTCGCGAACGCCATCGCCATTGAGACGGGTCGAGTTGGGTAAAGACTTCTCCCTACACTCTGATCCTCACTCCGTGTATGATCTCGTCGACCTCCTCATTCAGACTGGCGTCAGCGAATGCCTGGAATTGATTATCGCTTGGCTGTCCCCATCTCTGCGTGAAATATCGAGCCACAAGCCCACTGCGTTCGTGGATTGTCCCGGCGCATATACGCCCTGCGATACCCCGCGCATACATCTACATCATCCATCGTTTTTGCGCGGTCGTTTCTTTTTGACGGCATTCCCTCTTTCAATATACCATTCAACCTGTGCTTATACATGTTGAGAATAACTCAACCCGGACTCAACACGTACCAGAATACGTAATGTCTTCCTCGGGTGCAATGCGAGCGAACATTGGCCTCTGTCCGACAGATACCCTCGATCCAGGACGTTTGACGACTCTGACGCGGGCTTCTTCGCCCTCTTCGCTCGAAGTGCGATGGCCATCAAGATCATCTCGTATGCAGACTTGGTGCTTGAATGGGAGGCGGACTTCCTACATAGCAATCGCTTTTTCTGCAGACGTCAGCGGGGTATATACTCCACGAACTATTCAGACCAATGTGTCACGGCCTGTGTCGTTTGCCATGGCATCCACTCCCGCATCGTCTTTCCTTCTCCAGAAACGCCAAAATCCCATATCATGCTCCCGACACCCGGTCGGTGCGCTCGTGTCCTCCCCCTCAGGATGCTCGACCTCATCATCACCCAACGACATCTTGCACCCACGCCTCCACACCCACGCGTCCGTCTAACATCATTTGCGATGTTCCCGTCTCGCTGAACTATGTTCCGTATGTGTATCTACTCGATCCTCGTCATACGGCGCGTATCGCCGCAAGCTCGGATACTCTCTCAGCCGCCGAGGGGTATCATATCATGTTGATTCTTAATACCCTTCTTCATTATTGCGATGGCGTGCTCGTTCTTTACTGCCATGTACGTGCTATACATTACTGTCTCCTGTTCCTCCCGCGGCTGAAGCTTGATAAGGGACGTGCCTTCATCCGGTCTTCCCTCGCAAGCCCGTGCTCGAGGGACGGGGATCACGAGCAGCGCGAGCGTATTGACAACATGCACTTTGTGACATATCGCACTTGATGTGTATGTACTACGCCACAGCGTGATCACAAGGCAAGTCTTTGAAGGGACGATCAATTCTGTACGTTCTCCCTCTTCCTCGTACGCCAAATCCATGACCTGTCCCCGATTCTGAGGCTGGCGCATCTGGTCAACCAAGAATACTCAGAGCTTGTGGAGGATGGAAGTGACAACATCTGCTTTCAAAAACAAACTGAGCGATGATGTAGTATAGTCACTGTGCCCATCTTGCTATTTTCAAGAAGAATCCGACTTCCTCGTCGATTTGCTGCTCTCCTCACTTTGCTCTTCTCCCATCACTTCGGTCTTCTCTTCTGCTCGGCCCTCTCGTCGGTTCCCCCGTTGTCTTGATCCTATCTCGCTGATGCGCTCCTCTCTTCGCCTCGATCCTCTCTCGTCAATGCATTCCTCGCGATGCCTGACTCTTCTCGCTGTCCTGCCCTCGTTCGTAGTCCTCATAGGCGAGGACTTCTGGATCAACCTTTTTCGGAAGGGAGTGGGCAGAGGCAATAACTCCGTCCTTCCGAGGACCCTCCACCTTGCTTCCGGCCCTGTGTATTCTACCAACCAGATCTCCCTGCCCTCAAAACCAGTCATCGCGCGAGTTTCGGGTCTGCCTCCGTCAAAAAAGCAATTGAGCTCGATACCATCTTTGATAAATTTGGGCGTTCCTGTATGGCGCAGCTCTTCCACGAGCCCTTGACCTTCTCCACTCCACTAAAGGCCTCGTCGAGATAGAATAAGGACATGTGCGGAAAAGACCGGCTCGTGGTGTGGACTTATTCGTGCAGTATCATCAGCTCGCGCGGTTCAAATATACTGATGGATAGGGAGCCCAGATAAGCGGTCTCAACCTTCAGTGAGCTGAAAGACACGTTTATTGGCGTGATACATGGAGGAAGCATGAGCTTGAGAGACGGAGACTCTAGAATAAAGAAAGTGACAAGGGTGATGTGAGGCCTGAAGGAGGCATACGACCTGGACGAGTGGATCTCCGGATCATAGGCTCTTGGCTGGAAACTCATGAGACGGTCCAATGCGTGGCAGGCACAAGCCAGAGAGCGTATCCTGCAAGCGAATTAGCTGAGGATTCCATTATCACAAGACAACAGGCCCGTTGTGAAGCGTCAGTGGACCGAACAACAAAACTTAGCTCTGCGAGTAAAACTTGGTTAAACGTCGACCGACTCCGGCACAACCGATGGATCTACCAATTCGAAAGACTAGCTATCGCAAGGCTATAGTCGAACGTTGAGTGAGGGAAACAGGCGCCTGCTGCGAGAAACGGCAAATGGTGGTATATTATGACATGATATATTATGACGTGCGTGTTCAACGCATGTATTGCAGTCTGCAGAGCGGTGTATCTTGACGGGGCCTAAGATCTAGATGACCTAAAAGCTGATCTCAGATATCCAATGCAGGCTCAACACACCGTATAAGGGCTATTCCCGAACAATATGTCTTTGTAATAGCTGCTTCCTCAGCCTTACAGTCTCTCTAGAATTAAGATATTCTAGATGGGGGGGAGGACGGTCATGATGAGGTTCTGGAATACGCCTTTCGGACAGTAAGATAGCATTTCAGCCACGGGGCTAACACGATTGTGGTCTGTCGACGGTGTGCCCACGCGTGGAGGCCGCATGTTCTTCTTAGTGACCAACTTAGACACCTTGTACACTACTTTCCCATGTTGCAGCAACGGGGTCTGAATCATGTGTGCTCATGTTACTTGCAGGTTCCTACTCGTGAGAGCCGTTTGCCCCCCTTGCTACCTCACCTTATAACGGCGACCCAGTCTATTCCATAACTCTCTAGCGCTCCCCCAACTTTCCTACTTGCAACAGCCGACGCTTAACAGCGACAATGCCCAACGATATCTGTCTTCAGTGCAATAAATAATGAATGCGACCAAAGTACACATGCGAACTGAATGTCGTGAGAATTGGTTGTTTACAAATAGACATAGGTCATAGGAAGGCCAGAAGATTGGGGTCCTACCTCTTTCAAAGATGTCGAGTGTGTGGTCTACAACGAGGATGCCATTTGACCTGCCTATCTCATCACTGTCAGGTCATGGCACAGATCGTGCAATTAGACAGCTAAGGGCAAATGATTAGAAAGGACCGCAGTGTGCAGAAGTTTTAAAGTTCGTCTGAGACCCGAAGCGAGAGCGATCGACAAGGATATATCGCATTTGTCTGAGTTCTGTCAAACGCGTAAGGAACAGACAGAGCGCCTCCATCAGCAAAACCAGGTTCGGCGTGTAATACAATATATTAGTTATGAGTAATCATCATGATTGTCCATGCTTGTTATTTGCTGATATGTAATTACACGCCTGTCTAATTATGGGACATGATTATGAAGTAGTCAACATTCAGGCGATGCGTGTGCAACTTAGAGCCAGAATGGTATGCGTCTGATAATCGATTGCAGACACGTCGTCATAATTTTACTTGATTGTATGAATGCCCAGATATTGTGATAGTTTGCTAAGGCTTGGTATGTATCTTAAATAAAGCGATATAAATATTCTAATTCCAATCACGTTGCGTATCGTATGGATTCCGACACTGCATGCTGACAAATGCAACAATGGATGCGATGTAAGAGTGCGCTTGACCGATCATACAGAGAATCAGGCTTCGGAAGTTATTACATTAGCATATCTAGTGCATTGTTTCGTCCTCTGTGTCCTGACTCCTCGTCATCCTCAGGGTCTGAGCTTGTTTAAGTCTATGTCGTCGTCTAGATGTCCGAGCCATGAGCGCTAGCGCCGGCATGAACAGACTCGCATGGGGCGCAGTCCGCTAGGTGTGCTAAATACACTAATGTCTTCATAGCCGTGACTTGAGGAAATGTGGTGTAGAGTACGAGGTGAGTCTTTCAGTGTGCCATTAGACTGTTAGAATGATGAGTCGCTGGCCGGATCTTAACTGTTACAATGATACAATGACTACGCCCATCAAGCACACAGCCATATGGTATTTGTCTCGCACCCAGACCCACAGTATTCATACCCCATTTCGCAGTGGCGGGGCGTGGATACGGTGGGCCTGGATACAAGGCAAAATTGTATTTTGCTTTCAGCTGGTTTGTCTGTCAGCAGCTATATTCAGCGAGTCGCCGAATGGCGAGGCTCATGATTATTGGTGAGCCAGACACATGCTATGTGAAATTTCCTTTGCCAACTGCAGATAAGAGAGCACATCTGAGCGCATCTGGGTACAGTACAGTCCTCGCCAGCCTGAGGACCTCAAATATCCCATTCAATTCTGCTTTTTAAGTTGGTAAGTTACAGCCCTTTCAGATCCCATTTTCTGGCTGTGTCTCATTATGCTTATAATCTTGCACGCATATAGTGTGATTTACAGGTTGCCAATTTGCATAACTCAACACAAAGCCAAACTGCTTGAATGGTAATACAAGTAAGTTTCATACTCTCTGCGACTTCAACGTCCTGCTGATGTCACATTGAGGCAGAACATTGAGACGGCGGTAGCGTCAGCGGCCAGTCTCAGGAGCCCAGGTTGCGGCTCGACGTCTACAGGATCAGGTGGCCGGATCAGGCGAGAACCTGTAGACTGGCGCACCTGTAATAGTAGTTAGTACCTATATAATTACGAGAAAATAAACATGATTTGTAATGTTTCTGCCACGATTTATTTGTGAGGACCCCGGGGGCCAGGGAACCGTGACCAGGCGAGAGTAATGAAGCCTGTTCAGGCAATCGACATTCACCATTGAAGCAGAACATTTTAATATCATGTAGGAATATAATGGTGGTACATTCATGGCAGGTGATGCAAGAAGAGTACATCTTGCCAACAGCCACCAATATTGCACCTATTGCAATGGATTGGGAAATTGCCAAAGCGGACTCGCCTCGATAATCGCATATCTCTCATGTACAATTATGGCGCTCAATTACATTGATTGTGTCGTCATGTAATAGATTGCAGGATGGATCTGGTTTTGCTGATGTCGCACAAAGTCTGCGAGACACTATAAATAATGCCAAATACGATGACATGCGCTCGCCACAATCCCATGTTTCAACAAAAGTTATTGATACGTACGTGCACGTATTATCCGGCATAAGGCGACGCCCTGTAGCGGATATAAAACAGAAAAAAAACAGAAGTTGCTAGGGATGTCACTTGTGCGAGATACAGGTGTCAACATGTCTCGGGGACATTACCCGAGAAGACATTGGGAGCCAAAAATGGCACTGTTGATGTCTTTATTTGGGGAACATGTCTGGCAAACGTCAATGAAAGGGTGATAATCATTCTGTTCATTTTTCCGAAGATACGCCGCACTGTCTACCCGGCGAGTACTCATCAAGGCGTCTGGGGGTGCAAGTAGAGAGAGGCGCGGAGACCTCAGCTCGCGATACATGGTAGTATAGTACGCACCAGTGTGTCTTCGTATCAGACGAAGGGGGAATTATGTACCCAAGGAGGTTCTTAGACAAGGATAAGCCGAAGGCAGTCTACGCTGTCAGTGTTATCGATGATTCTTGATGTGCATTGCCTGACATCAAGTTGCCAAATGTGCCGGTTGAGCCCTATGCGATTCGCAATCTTCACATTGATTCCCTGCACTGCTTTCGCCAGCGCGCAATGGTCTCGCGAAGGACTGAAGGTGTATTGAAAATCAATTCGGATCACGGTCTTCAATATATGCTGCGGCAGTGAGCGCTCATGAAGGCCTCCGCAACACTCTGTGTATACGACCTGGGATCGTATCGCAGGCAGTGAATGTACATCATACGCATGTTGAGCATGTGAACCACACATGGCGGTGAGCCGCGGCAGATAAGAGCTGATATGGATGAGGCAGGGACAAATCAGAGATGATGATGGAAGCTTGAGTTGCGGGGGAGACTTACAGGCACAGTTTCGTTACTCTAGCATATAATCTGCGAACAGGGAGAAACTGCTCACTTCTGCCACGCACATTTCCTAGCCCCTTTTCCAGCTCCGCATCGCCGAGCGGAGTACAATGAATAGCCAGGCAGTGATCGTTCGATCATACAAAACGTTGTGGGGGCGGTTTAAATCGGCCATGGGGTGAGTTGGGAGGACCTAGACTTCCGTTTTCTGTGCTCCTCGAGCGTTGCATCATTTCATTGCCTCCTACGAGGATGGCGATATTGCCTATGTTTGTTCGAGACTCACGTCACTTTCTTCCAAGGCCTCTCAGACGTCGACTCGATGCCGAGGCTGCGATGAAAAATAAAACCAGGTGCGTGGAGACGTCATCGTACAGCAATGGCAGTAACGCTCACCTTCGACAGAGATACGGCCATGGTCCGGCAGGCCATGCTTCCACGTCTCCCGGTGGAGATCTGGTTGCTAATCATCGATGAGCTCGGAGCAGAAGGCGAGTACGATGCGTTGATGGCGTGCGCGGGTGCTAGCGACGGGTTAATGAATGAGAGAGCACGGAGCTACGTTCCATTCCAAATGTCATTTAGGACGCCGGAGGAGGTTGCGAGCATCAATCTGCGGCAGCGCTGGAAGGGTCCATACGCAGTGCGCATCCTGGGAGGAATGCGTCGTGGTGAGCGGCTTCCGATTCCACATCTGGCGACATTCGCGTCGAGGCTCGCACAAAGGTGGACTGTTCCGGAGCTGACGATCGAGAACGCGGAGTGGCGGGCGCGGGATCTCGATCCCCGTTCCGTCTTACTCGATTTGGCCTGTTTCAACGAGATCCGGCATCTCCACCTCGCTGGTGTCACGTTTCCGACGGTCCTGACGTTTTGGCGGCTCATCTGCGCCCTCCCACACCTCGACAACCTTTACCTTTACGACGTCGAGATTGTCAAGACTGCAGCCAATGTCCACACAGCGTTATGCCTTCTGCCCGCCTCACAGATACGGTGCATCCACCTGCCGACGCCACCGCCCACGAAACCCGTCGTCGGGCGACCTCAATCATTCGCAAGGCATTCTGTCCCGCTGCTAGAGCAGAGCATGTCACCTCTCAAGACGCCTCCATGGAGGAATGTTCACAAACTGATCCTGTGGGATGTCACGCTTCCGACGGCGGAGGCCTTCGCACGCGTGCTTGTAGCCCTTCCTGCCCTCATGACCCTCGTTATCAACGGACCATGTACGTTCTCGGAACATGGCTTCAACCCGAGCGATGTCCCTCTGCGCCCGGACATGCTAAAGAAATTGACAACTGTTGAGTTGGGCAAGAGCTTCTCCCTATTCTCTGATCCTCAGTCTGTTCACGACCTCGTTGACATCTTCGTTCAATCTGGCGCCAGCGGTCATCTGACAGAGATCATGGCCTGGCTGTACCAGTCCCTGCATGTAGCGACAAGCATAGATGTCGCTCTCAATCGACTCGTCAAGCACGCGGGCCAATTACTGAGGAAGCTTAACCTCCGAGTACTTTCGCAAGACAACTCATGGCTATGCAATGAAGTGTCGACATATGCAACCCCGAGTACAGGTGCGCCGGTAGCATGGTCCTTTCCAGTTTACCCACAGTAATACAAAATGCCTCTAGCTCGTTGCTTTGATATCTCGGCGAATACATATCTCGGCTACTTTCTCTATTCAGTTGAAATCATACATGATGATGATTCCACAATTTCTGCTGTCGTGGAGCTTCTTCACCAGGTCACGTCAGCACACATATCTCACGTCAATTTGATCTTTTGTGTCATGGATGAAGCAGACCTGGCAAAGTGGTGGACTAGCCTCCCACAGCTCGATGCAGCCCTCTCGCGGGAGGTCTTCCACATGCTTGACACAGTCCGCATACGATTCTTTCGTGGGAACAATTGCAGAGAGATTCCTGTTGCTGCGGTGAGGACATGGCTACCAGGGCTAGATGCACGTGATATTCTGCGGTGTGTACCTCCATAGCGTACTCATTACTGTCTCAACTGACATGTCTTATTCATGCCATCAGAGTAGACAATGCGTGAGGTGCAACGAATACCAGGGTCGACTGATGAACTCATCGCCTGTACCTTCGCGTGAATGGCGCGAGCTCCAGGTGTCCCTCGCTCGTGCCAGGTGTGGAGAAGACCTTCTCCCGTCATACCACAACCCCGCTGTATTCGTGTATTATCATACATACATGTCCTGCAGATGCTCGCGCACACTTCGCTTCAGATTCTTATTATCTCTGCGTTGCCACATTGTTTGACGTTATCCCATCACTCTACACCATTCAATATATATGCGTTGCGATTACCCGGATGCCACGCTCTTCGACACGCGCCAGCACGCACGATACGCCTTCTTCAGACGCACCCCGTGCGAGACATGCTCGGTTCGTCCGCAGTCGTTCAATGCGATAGGAGGCCCGGTGGGTCTGACGCTGGCCAATTGATCCTATTCGCTCTGCGGGAGCGATTAGCCATCGACGCGCTGATGAATTCCCCTCAAGCTGCTCGATCTTCATCATTCGACGACATCTCGAACCTCCTCACCATTTGCAACGGCACCATCCTGCCCAACTATGATGGCTCGGAGCGTGCACAAACGGTCTGTCCTTGTTTTGTCCTGTCCTGGTGAAGACGAGTCCGACTCTGCTTGATCTCACCGAGCGGAGTTCCTATACTCGCGCGTTTCTTCGGCTGAATTTCTGCTCGAAGTCTTCGACGTGTGAATCGTTGTGGGAAGCTGGACTGCGCGCGATACTCATTCTTGACTGCGTTGAGTTCTATTTCGGTTTCGTCCACAGGACGCTTACTGACAAAACAGCCCTGTACAGTTCGCAAAGTCTCCGCATGTCTTCCCCCGCACGGCCACCCGCAGCGGCTATCGACACCTTACATTAGGACATGTACATCAGGCCGCTCTATCGGTCTAAGTTGAGATTGAATTGCGACCTCGAAAGCACGAGATGTTGGAACTTGAGATTGTGGCGAGCGCATGCCACCGTATTTGGCCATGTTTGTAGTACCTTGCAGACTTTGCGCGAGCCGTCCTGTATGTTCCTTACGCGTTTGACAGAGCTCAGACAAACGCGATATGTCTTTGTTGATCGTTCTCGCTTCGGGTCTCGGACGAACTATAACATGCTGAACACGTGTCACCAGATTTTCAGAATGCAGAAGGCGATGAGACAAGACGAATGAGCGTAACACAGAACTTTGTGAGACTTATAAATTACCCTCGTGGGCATTGCCCAACATTGGGTGCCCAGCGCTGATCGAGACTTGTGCGGTTCGCAGCCTGCAAGGTCTCTAAATTAGCTCCTTGCAACCAATGATGCCAGCGCGTATCGATGCTTCGGGGAGCGACGTGTTCACGAGTCTACTACATTGATCTAAAACTAGATCTGACCGCAAGCCTCAATGACTATCGTGGTAGTCGGTGCCCATCGAAGGCTTTCCTCAAGGGACCTGTGTATGAGGTTATGAACGTTAGGAGTATTACTTTTAAATGGTTCATGAGTCTTTCTCGGTGTCCTTAATCATATAAGATGATGAGGTGGATCGAACGAGAGCGATGCGGAGACAAAGATACGTGAATGGGCGCAATGGAAGTTTGAATGACGGATGATAAATGAAAAACACGAGGTGAGTTGCAGGTATCAAAGGCGCCGCTTCGTTGCTCTCGGATATCCTTCGCGAGCATGCTGAGTTTACTCACTTTCCTGCCACCTTTGCAAGCCCTTTTTCATATCCTCTTGCTCAGCAAGGCCCGCCAAACGGCCCATTGGCGATTAATCGGTTATCTCAAAGTGCACGGAGGAGGTTGAAGGACGTATGGTGAGCCTGGTGCGCCATTAGTTCCTGTCTGTATGTGCTCCTGGAAAGAATCGCCGTCTTATGTAACACGCAAGGAGGGCGCTGCTGCATCATTCTGCTCGCACTCCAGTTTTGAGTCTCAACAATTCAAACCTTCACCAGACGCCCAAGTTGTAATGTATAATATACTTAGGTGCGTGGCGGTGTCGCCGTCTGGTAATGTAACTTGCACTCACCCCGACAATACTACTACAAGCATAGTCTCCACGACGGTGCTTCCAGTTCTCCCACGAGATCTGGTTGCTGATCGTCGATGAGCTCGGTGCAAAACGCGAATACGACGCGTCGGAAGCCTGCATCTATGCTAGTGAAGGATTTATTGAGGAGAGAGCAGAGAGGTACCTTCCATCCGCAGTGGTATTCAGGACGCAGGAGGAGGTTGCGAATATCAACCTGGTGCCGCGTTGGAAGGGTCCATACACAGTGCGCATCGAGGGAGGAGTACGTGGAGGCGAGCGGCTTCCGATCCCACATTTGACGACATTCGCTTCGAGGCTCGCGCGAAAATGGACCCGCGCGGCAAACTTGAGGATCTCGAGAGCGGAATGGCGATTGCAAAATCTTGATCAGCATTCCGTCTTAATCAATTTATCCTGCTTCGACAACGTCAAACGCCTCTTTCTCTATGATGTCACGTTCCCTTCGGTCCTGACCTTTTGGCGCCTCGTCTGCGCGCTCCCACGGCTCGAGAGGGTTCATCTCCGTAACGTCAGAATTGTTAGGACTGCCATCAATGCCAGGATACTTGCAACATTGTGCCTTTTGCCCGCTACTAGGGTGGTCACAATTCACCTATCACGGCCCGAGGAGTCCGGTGTCGAGCGGCCTGGATCGACCGCAACGCGCTGTGCTGGGTTACTTCAGGCGATAGTAGCGCATACCATCCCGTCTCTCAAGACGTCCCCATGGAGCAAGATCACAATACTAGTGTTGTGGGATGTTATCCTTCCGACCGCTGGCGCTTTTTCACGCCTGCTCCATGCCCTTCCCGCCCTCCAGGAACTCACCATCAAGAGGCCATGCATGTTCTTGGCAAATGGCTTTGATTCCAAATGCCTTCCTGAACACCCGGCCACGCTACCACAGTTGAGATGTGGTGAACTGGGCGAGGACTTCTCCATACATTCTGATCATCAGTCCGTGCACGACCTCTTCATTCAAACCGGCGCCGGTGGCCGTCTGCAAAGTATCACGGCTTGGTTGATACCGCCCTTGCGTGTAGCAACTGGCATAGATGTCGCTCTCAATGGACTCGTCAAGCATGCTGGCCAATCGCTGCGTAATCTTGACCTCACAGTACTCCCACAGGGCAGCTTCCCGCTGTCCAATGAAGCATCCACGTATGCAGCTCCGATACAAGGTGCGCCCCGTAACATGGTCCCTGCAATGTTACTCACTGTAACGCACAGTCCCTTCAGCCTGTTGTTTTGATGTCCCGGCGAATTCACATCTCAAGCGCCTTGAATATTCAGTCGATACAACTCACGAGGGAATTTCATCAATTGCCCCTCTGGTGGAGCTTCTTCACCAGGTCACATCACCACAGTTGTTCAGCATCGATTTGTTTCTCGAAGTCATGGACAAGGCAAACCTTGCAAAGTTATGGACTGGCCTCTCACATCTCGACGTTGCTCTCTCCAGAAGTATATTTGACAAGCTTCGGAATGTCGATATATACTTCATTCTTGCAAATGATTCCATACATATTCCCGGAACTATGGTGAGGTCATGCTTACCAAATGATACAACGGTCTATACTCCTATATCGATGCCTGACTCGTAGACGACGAGCGAGGGCTTATGGACAGTGCGTCGTCCTGAAGATCGAGCGAGGAAGTCGAGAATGACCACTACCCCAAGTGAAGAGGAGCAGAGACTTGAATGAATAACCAGGTCGAACTTAGGGTTCGACCGACTAATGGTACAACTACTTATACAAGTACCGACTACGCACGGACCATCGTGTCTATATGGTCGTGTTAGTGAAGAAAGAAACGTAGTGGTACGATACCAGGCACGAAGTGCGCACGGACCCCATTATGTAAGCAGCATAATGTTCAACCTGCGGGTGAGCGCTAGGACAGGCGCCAGTATGGGCGCTAGTAGTACAAGGAATAGAACGGAAAGACAAATGTTTCATTACCCCCCTACCAGAGTCGAAGTCCCATTCGACTACTTACTGCTCACCATCTCCATACAACTCCCAATCTACGCCGTCGTCCTCCTCTTCGTCGAACCACTCCTTACGCGCGTTCCTCCCTACGTTCATCCATTCCTCGCCAGAGAGGTGCTTCTGATTCGGCCAGGAGCTGTCCCACGTCCATTGAGTGGTGTCTGGTGTCCAGTCGGGATCGACTTTGCGAAAGACGACGGGTGTATCGGGACGGGGGCGCGAAGGTCCCGCGACGGGACTGGCGGGGGGTTCAGGGTTAGCGCTACGCGGTGGAGGGATGGGTATTGCTTTCGTCTGCCTTTCTTTCTTCTTCCTCTCCTTCGCCTCGTTGATGATTCCTTCGAGAAACACGTTGTCGACGACCACCCCCACGCGTCGCGCAGGTTCTTCAGGTGGTGCGGATACGTGTCGCTTCATCGGCCTGGTTCCGCACTCTCGCTCCAGGTGTCCAGGGGCTTCTTTTCCGCAT